TTTATTTTTCCCATTCTACTCTGTAATTATTACGTTTCTAATTTTGATTGTTTTCTAAATTACGAGTTTGAAACTAAAATATTTGTAACTTATTTCTATGATATTACTTTACTAAGCTACTTTTTAAGATATAAATTAATTTAAATTGGTGTCTAAACTTTAAAAAAAAATTGGTGCAAATTGCATTAATTTACTATTACAAATGACAGTTCAAAAAATTTGTGTTGACAGTTAAAACTTTTTCTGTGCACGAAAATGGCCGTCAAATTCTTAATAATTTAACGATTATTTTTAACTGGGATTTTCAATCGAATATTTTACTTTTATTTTATAACAGTCGTTAAACAGCCGACTCAAATTTTTGGATTTACGACTACTAATGTTCAACTCCGTTTCCTTGTAATTTTGAACCCAATCCGGAAAACAAGGGAACTCCTGGCTCAAGTATTGGGAGAAATTTACCTTCATGGAGGACTTTTTGATGGAACTATCCCGCATTTGCGTTACACGGAGAGAAAATTCACGGAAACCTCCCACAGTTAACCTGAGAGCAAGGGGACTCTAACTCATGATCCGCCTACCACAGAAAATATTTCAGCATCACCACTGTGGTGGACACATTGGAAGGCGAACGCTTTATTTCCTGAGCCACCATGGGTCACAATAGCATATATTAATGTAATTTGTGCCAAAAAAAAAACAATTAAAAAAACTGCAAGACATGGATTCGACACTGTTTGGACACTGATTTAAATAAATTTGTCTTAAAATGTAGCCTGATAAAAAAAAATATGAAATTATGTTATTATAAAGAAAACAACTCTTTTACTTTTAAACTCTTAATTTCGAAAACAATCAAAATCGAAAACGTAATTATAGCAGAGTAAAATAAGAAAAATAAATATTACTAGTCAATTCCTTGAAATTTGGAATAAAAAATATTTTACAGGAAAATAATACCTTTATGACTTTTATTATGCTGATGACAACCAACATTTTTATGCTGATGGCAACCAAAAAAGTATGGAAAATGATGTGGGAAAACTGGATTTTACCCTGCCATTTTACGGTCAGTAAAAATGTGCCGAGAGCAATGGAAAACTATGTTAGGCCATTTTGCTAAATAGAGAAAAAAAATCAATGTATTACTAACTGACTCCTCGATACTACAGCTGAACCATGGTCTCTCTAACAATTCGACTCTAAGGTAGTTTTCCTCATAATTTATTGTTCATCGTATCTCTTCGTTATTCTTAAGCTCTTGAGATCTTCCCCAACCTCGAAAATTCTTCTTTTCTTTGGTTTTCGCTTAACTTGTGATCAACTTAAAAAGATCTTTTTTTATGCATTAGCTGTCATTCATTATCTTTATGTGTTCCAACCATTTGATTCTCTTCGGTTTTACATACTTAGTTTATTACATTCTTTTCATTTAAAAGGTTTTAAGTTTTACGTTTGAATCGTTTCACATCAGCCCTTCCAACTGATTCGAAATCGGTTCTCAAGATCTCGGTACTTCACATTTTTACGTCAAGTTTCTCACCCATAGAATCTATAGGTTTCCAAAACTGGGTTCAGTGGAATCTTAGGTTTTGGTAAGGGCCTTCTAGTGTTTCCGCGAATTTATTTGATTTTTGAAAATTTCAAATTCAATTTTAACATATTCTAACTTTTATTTTGTTTATTTTCCTTTTCCTTACAAAAAAAATCATTAAAAAAAGGCAAAACAAAGATACAAACAAAAAAGTAGCTGAGAAGAAACTGAAATTATTTTTCCTCGGTAAGATCTGATGAAGTGGGGGAAGAAAGGACATCATCCCTCCTTCAAAATTTGTACACTAAAAATTCATTCTGCTCTTTTATTAGTCGCCTATCTTCAGGACTTTGGAGGAGCTTTTGTCCTTTGGTCCTTTTGTCCCTTCCTTTTGAGAAGCTTTTGTCCCTTCCCTTCCCGTAATAAGTAACAAATCCCCTCTTCTTTCCAATATTTTTCCAAGAAAATGTTAAAAAATAAAGTGCTATGTGGATAGCCAATAGCAACTATTTTTTTAAGGAGATTTAAAGATTCTCAGTATATTCCATCATTCGTTATTGTTGGTTCAGAGAATCACAAGCTTTTTTACAATTACAATTTTTTTTAATTACTCTACTTCATATATATGTATTTTAATATTATACATTTTTCAACTAATCTTTATACTTACTTTTATTCTTTTACTTATACTTCATTCACCTGAATACGTAATTCTACAACCGATTATAATTTATTTTTCGTTTGCAAAATAGATACTTATTTTTATGAGTAAATAAATACGCTATTTTTAAATTACTTAATTTTTTTTCTTAAAAAATATATACTTTATCTTTGATGATGCTTTAATTAAGATTCAAAAATATGACTTTAAATAATTCTCTATTATTTTAACTTAATACGTATAAAGAAATTTCGAAGACTGTAAAAAGTTCTAAATAAAATTTATTGCTTCAAGAAAAAAATGTTTAAAATTTATGGCAAATGATATGATGTTTAGATGAGAATTATTTTAAAAGATACTAAATATCTTATCACGATACAATATATAATTGAATTATAATCTTTATTGCAATATCAGGTGTTGAAACTCGTGCCATAAAATGTAAAACGTAGTGTCATTCTACTATTCCAAATCAAGTAACTAAACTTCGAAAAGAAGACAAAGACTTTCGTAATAACTTTACATAGTAGCTGTTAGTAACATTACATGTGCTTTACTTGTACTTGTAAACGTGGAGAAAAATATAATAAAGACTTATGAAAAGAAAATAAGAAAAAAGCACTCTTTTTTGCGTATATAATCGTGTGAGCTGATGGCAAGATTATATCTTTTCATTATTTTGCAACTTTTTGATTTTTATTTTTTTTAAATAAAATTCCTAAATATTTTTTACAAAAAANTAGGCTCTGATATCGATTTTCGGGACGGACACGCTTTATATTCAGTAAAGAGTAAAATCTTATAATTTTATTCTTAGTCACGATTTGGTGATCATGCTGCATGTGTTGATCGTCTATTTTAATATTTAAGAAATCTTCATTTGATACTTTACGGAGCTACTATATCTGCATGTTGTCAAAAAGGTAGCTTGGTTACAAAGATAAGGGAGAAAAATACTCGAAAATGTTCTAACTTTTCAAGTTCCGATTTTCTGAGGGCGCGTGTTATTTAGGAATAATATTATAACTACTCGGTGTGGTACGCTATACCAGAATAACAACTTACAAGTTGAGCAACATACTTGGACTTAGCATAGCGTCATTTGAACTAAGATCCAGCACATGCGCATAAGAAGCAAAGTGACAGTATGTCACCTGTGAACTGGTTATTGACGGTTAGGTACGCTGTTCAGTCAACCGCCATTTTGTTCTTTCTTTCTATATCAAAATGTGTTAGCCGATTTAATCAACATGGATGATATAATTGTATTCTGTACAGTACTGTTTAGCAATAGTGTAAAACTGCAGAACAAATCTACAATAAATAAAAAACGAAAACTTTTTTTCTCCTGCCCAACCCTAGTAGTGGTTAGGAGGAGAGGAGGGTACAAACTCGTTTCAAGAACCTAAATGTTGTTTTTTCATTTATACGTGGGGACTTAACCTTGGTTGATTGGTTTACATTAAACGAATGGAAGCTAGACTTCTTCCCCTATGTATATTCTTGGACATTATTACGACCACGTGACGCGTTAAATAATAAAAGCTTTTGAATTTGCTAGCAAGTTTTACCACTTTTGTTATATTTTCTTTTTTTATTAAATAGCTAACAATACTCAAATTCTTTCTCACTTAAAATCCCTCTCTAATTTTAAACAAGATTGGATTAAATATTTAACTGAGTTTAATAGTTCCAAGGCCGATTTTAAGTTATAATGACCATGATGGGCATAACGCTTTCAAGAAAAGCATAAGACACTTATGAACTAAGTTTGACAGCCAAATTAAGAGGATAAATCACAGAAACATTTTTCATGCCTTCGTTATTCTCTTATTTTACCACTCAATAAATATGTTTTTAAAAAACAGTTTAAAAAGAAACTTTTTTAAGAAATTATTTAAATTGGTTTTCTGATTTCTCACCCAGACTAACGGACTATGAAGAAGGAGATTCAATCATGAACTTTGCCGCCTTTATAAAGAACATGACAGTAGTAAATATATCAGAATTCAGAGGAGAGTATTGGTTGGTCATTTAATGCGGTCACTGGAGGAATGTACATCTAAAAGAATTTTAAGGACTAGGATTTGGATACCGGCCAAAAGGAAGACCCAAACTAAGATTGTCCGATTCTGTAGATAAAGACTTCCTTGTACTGAACTGCAAAGGCTAGAGAACCGTTGCCAGAAACGGGTTAGGATGGAATGGAATCCTCGAGATGGTCAGGACCCACCCTGAACTGTCACGCCAATGATGATTCATAGAATTAGGATCGCTATTTTCTTCAGATTTCTTTTTTCTTTTAAGATCTAAGCAAATAGTTAGAATAAAAGAAATTGATTGCTATCAACTTTAAACTTTATGCCAGCGCTTATGTATGTATTATGTGTTATGCGCGTATGCTATTCACCTTTTAGCGCTAAGAGTCTTCCTTAATTTCAAAGCAAGAGAAGCAATTTTTTATAGATATAATATAGTAAAAATTTAAAAATCATAAAATTTATATTTAAATAATGAAATAACTTTAAAGATACCTTTAATAATATATAGTTTTTTAGATTAAAAATCTTTAATCTAGGCTAAAGAAAATCTTATAAAATTGATACTGATTTTAGAAATTCAGAAGACATTAAAAAAAAATTAAGAAAAAACATATTACTTGTTCAGATAAATTAGATCGATTGATCAGATAGATTAAGAAGACAAAATAGTGAAAAGAATTAACAAAATTGATTTTCAAAATAATTATTCATAAGAAACTTTGAATCAAATAGTAAATGTCTCATGCAGAAGAAATGAAATCTGTTTGCTGTAAATTAATTGTTTATTATGTGAATAATAGTCATGTATATAAAATGTTTAAGTACACGTTATTTTTAAGAATTAATTCTAAAAAAGCAGAATCCAAAAATATGTTATCAATAAATCAAATTACATACAGGTAAAATAAACCAACAATGTAATTGCTATAAAAATATAGACAAAATTACGCCTTACCACAATTAATAGTGCGATACAATTCGCATAAATGACATAGTTCATGAATCCATTGGCATACATCATGAAAAATAGAGCAAGAAAGTGACTTAGTTTGACGTAATTCCTGGTTCTACTGAACTGGAGAACTAGACAGATGAAAGCTGGTAGTGTTTTAAAGAGTGTCATGAAATAATCTCTATTCTACAGGATGTCCAAGACAATGAATAAAGTTGCTGAGTAAGATGCTTGCTTACGAGAAACCATGTGATGCATTCCAAATGCAAACATAAAAAACATGGGCACATAGATGTATTTCCCGGTTCTCATATCATAGTTAAACTAAATGTTTTCTCTGCAAAAGAAAAAAATCATGTTAGATCCACTTCAAATTTTAGATTTCTCTCCGTATTTAAAAATCATAAGCGATACCACCCACGTAGTTTTGGAAGTTTAACTTTTCGTTACATTTTGTTTTGTTGCACAAAAACTATAAGATTAAGAAACTTAAAATTACGATTGGATGCAGAAATGTGTACAGGTAGGTAGATACTTTATTTACGTCACACTAGAACTGCGCAATGGGCTATTGGTGACAGTCTGGGAAACATCCCTAAGGATGATCCAAAGACATTCCACCGCAATTTTCATCCTCGGTAGAGGATGAAAATTGCGGTGGCATGTCTTCGGGCTACCAAAGCACGGGAATGATTCCCGTGCTTTGGTAGCCCGACAACTAGCGCGCGAAGTCGAGCACTTTACGGTAGAACAGTTTAACGAGAATTGATACCGCGCACCCTCAGTCCCTACGCATGCTGATCAAAGTGATCACCCACCCACTTACTGACCGCAGCCAGTGATGCTTGACTTTGGTGTTCTACTGGGAACAGTATCTTTGCGATCAGTCCACTGCAGGACGGAAATCTGTACAGGGAGTACAACTGAATATAAAAAATAGGGTTTGCAAAAAATAGCTTATAGCAAAAAATACCTCGCCAGCGGCTCTGCATCTAGGGGAAATTCAAGAACGAGTTGAAAGGCGCCTTTTTTTCCTGAATTATCAACTAGTTCGAAAGTTATTGCAATTTAAATACTTTTTCACCATTATTTTTTAAAGCTTGTTTGCCTTAACGTTAGAACGTCGGGAATTTAGATTATCCATAAACGTCAACCGGTGTTTTTTTTTTTGTTTCGACGCCGCGATATAAAATAGATAAAATAATTATAATAACTATGCAATTTCAGTTTGGTTTTAAACTTTTTAATATTATTTCATGTAATGATAATTTTTATAATCCTTCATATCATAAAGAACTGTAGCAAAACTAATTATTTCATCCTATAAAATGAAATCAAACAATATTCATAATAAGCAAAATCGTAATTTTTGTGAGAATGCAAGTTCTTTAATCATTATTTATAGTTTTTATACATAATATTTTGTACATACCTTATTCGCAACGGATACAGTGATATTCAATAGTTCCTGCACATTTTCTGCACACCACTTTCAAGCAAGAGTCGCACATTTTTTTTTTAATTGCATTTCCATTACACTCTTTAATTTCGCACTTCTTACGTTTTTGCGAATTTCTAATTCCGTTTCACGGTGTCTGCTCTGTATAAGATTCGAAAATCGAGTGAAATTTTTTCTATGAGCAGATAAGCAAATGCTATGTAACGAAACGCTTAGACATAATAATTTTAACATAATTGTTTCATTTCCGCTGTGAACCCAATAACACTGCATTCAAGAACAAACAAATGTGCGATAGTACTTTGGGAAATTAGTTTTACTAATGGTTGAACTATCTTTTGTTGAACGACAGCTATTTATGATGTTAAATTGCCTTAGTGTCAAAACGATAGGAGCGGACGTCCTAGGTATATATAGTTGTAAAATCTCTCCTAATTAACCTAGAACCACAAGACAAAACTTTTCCATGATAATGATCGTGAATAGCTTAAACTTTTAATTACCCGAGTCTCTTTTAAATTAAAATTATGTTTCAAAATATCTAACTACAATTGCAAGTATAAATCCTCAAAGTATAAACAGTACGACTCTCCATATTGCTTAAAGAGCCGTAGGATATATGTTGTTCATTGATTTCTTATAATTGCTACTACAATGATTAGCGTTTATGTTCCCTGGACTTTTGATTTAAGATAAATGTGTCTCGCTGATTCCACAATGGATGACAATTGATCGAAAAATCATCATAGTTTAAAGTTGTACCATGATAATGAGATTTGACATAAGGGTATAACTATAAGTGATAATAATGGAAATAATAAAAATCATTGATAATATTGGATTATTACTTAATAATAGAATAAAAAAGAATCTTCTGGAGTGTATAAAATATTCACATAATAAAAAATAATGCTATGTTACAATAATACAATAAATTTAATTGCTTAGAAACAGAACGGAAATCGGATGAAAAGTTTCTAGGTCACCAATGGGACAAAATTGGTTTCCAGAGAAACGAAAGTTGAGGGTTTAAGATTCGTTTTACTCATTCTGTATTAATCACTATATATAATGTAAAATTTAAAATTTTGGAGTACCCTTTTACCACATTTAACACATTATAAATTTTCAAAAACTACAACTCATAAATCACTGATTTTCGAAATAGTGCTGTTCCTTTTTCTAATACATGACTACTTACAAAAATGTCTTCTGTCTCATCACTAATAACAAAAAATTGTTTCAACCTATATTCCATAAATGAAATTAAAATTGAAACTTTATATTATAGTAACCAAACAATTTATATTTCAGCTTAATTTCGCAAACAAACAGTAATTTTTCAAATTGTACTGACATCAAAATAGTATAGAATTCTTAATTCTTCAAATAACGGGTCGAAATTAAATTTTAATAATACCAATGCTCTTTTAAGTGTTATAAAATTCTATATAATCTCCAATAATTATCACCAGGTACTCTAAATCACTGATGTTTATAGCTTTGGTAAAAACTTTAAACTTTAGTAACTAAAATTTGTCTATCAAAGTAAAGAACGTGCCTATTCGTTTAATTTCAAAATACTTTTCCAGTTTTTCTACTTTCGTTTCATTTCAAATAAATATATTTTACTAGTTTTGAGAAAGGTAATGAATAAAGTTAATGAATAAGAGTCGGAAATCAGTATTGAAAAATAAACAATATGAAATGTTTCAAAATATTTTATACAATTGCGATTTGTTTTTATTATTAGGTTTTCAGTGGGAATACTGTTCCGAATATCTTAGACCGAAAATTGAATTTGAACTGCTTATTGGTTTAAAATCTTATATAGAAAGTACGCAATACTGGCCATTTTCGACTAACGAGGAAACAAAACCATAGTCCTTTTCGCCTGTCACAAATTACACTTGTTTCAGACCTTTTAAAAAGAAGCTATAAATAAAACTTGAATGTTTAACTAATACGGTCTTATGTGAAAAGAATGAATTTTTAATGTTCAGGTACTGTATTTTATTTCATTGAAAAATGCTAACGGACACCGATTGTAACGTGTTCTTTGAAAATTTATGACTTCCGTTAATATAATTAAAATGTCAAACGGTTTTTTTTTTTTTTTTTATTTTTTATTTTTTGAATTAAACAAATAGAGCTGTATGTTAAAAAGAAAGGGAGATTGCATGTAATTGAATCATTTACTTTAATGCAGAGATGCCAACTTTCTCCTGACAGCAAATATGTATTTTAAAGTGTTAGTTTATCAATTGTGATTCTTGGTTTTATAAATTCAATTTAGTAGATTTTCATCCACCACTATTTCTAAATAATTCGTAGGCTTATATAATTCACCACTTGATATTGCATATGTTACGCTATACCTTTTAAAAAGTAAGCGAAAATAATCAAATATTTGCAAAATTTACATGTATTAGTTATTTAGCGTTTTTTATTTAATTATTTTGGCGTGTCCGGAGCAGTTGGCATCTCTGTTAATGTGAAACAATTAATTAAAATTTAGTTTAATTGAAATTCAAATTGGCAAGTTTTGATACTCCTCAGTATCAAATCGAGAGCTGGTTATTGGGAGATTAAATCATATCAGATAAATGAAGCTGAATCGTACTATAAAATGTACTAAGAACTGACTTTAATAAAAAAATCTTGTATATAAAGGAAATTTTATTTTATTTATTAATTTTTTTACTTGTAGACTGATTTACAAAGTTTATATTCAAACACGCATTTCATCGTATATTAAAATTCACACATCCCAATTCATTCCTAAATGATTAGGATGTTTTTCAAAATGTCTCAGTTCAGTTGCTCGAAAATTTTTATCAAGTTAATACCATTTACTAAAGCTAATAGGTTTCCTATTTGTTGAACATTACGTCGATGAGATAATAAATACCATAATTTAGAAAGAGTGCAGTGCTTAGAAAATATAAAAGCTACAATACATGTCAAATCATTTAAGTTGGAACAGAAATTCACTAGGATATTTATTACATTGCTAAATATTCAATTGCTGAAAAGCGAATGTTTTTTATGTGAAGAGTGATATTTAAGTATTTTTTGCTTCCTCTCTTTCCTTCTGCGTAAAAATATGCATTCTATATACTTATTTATCTATGTATATCTATATATGAGTTCTATATACTGATTTATCTATGTAGTATATCTATATACTTATTTATTGATTACCGTTCCAATGCATTAATTGTAAAAAAACCTAAAGATTCGATGGAGTTTTATCTATTATTTTTCATAACGTTGTCATGCCCCATAGACTTTCTTTCTTTCTTTTGAAAGTTTTAAATCAAGTTTTATCTTAATTTAAAATTTTCCGCTTAGATTTAAAAAACTTCAAATGCTTACCTTAATAAGAAGTCCATGATAAACAAGGGATTTGATTTCATACTAGTTGAATGAAAACACGTTACAAACAATATAGAATATATTAGTAGCTTTTAAAGTAGTGTATCAATATTGAAACGCCGGATAATCCTAACTTCTGTGTTGTATCCGTTTTTTGTAATCTTTTTCTTTCGTAAAAGAACTTTCTAAACTGCTTACTTTTAATTAATTCTAAAAGATTTGCAAGTCATTATCAAAGTATCTTTTCGTTTTTTTTTTATTTGTCGGCTGTGAATAAAAGCTATCTATTCTATTAGCTTTTATCCTCTGCATACCCCTTTCGCTCATTTATTCTTTCTTTTTATACATGCCGCTCAGTTACTACCGAGGTGTAAGATCTTTGACTACCATAGCTTGCCCTAGAATTCGATTCCTCCAATAAAAACAAACTAGGCTAGCCAACAACTTAAGTCACAGGTTCGTGCCACGCTGTAATTAAGGATCCTCAGTGCATACAAACGTATAGCCTAGTTTAATACAATAGTAGCCCAGACACAAGCTCAATTACCGAAATCGCTGCACAATGAGTAATGAAGAAAGGCTTTAATGAAGTAGGATTAGCTTCAACTGTTGTTCAACTAAAGAGATAGAAAAACTAGTATAGATGTATTGTAGAAAAATGCGGCCAGCTGGTATAGGTGTGCGTTAGCAAATAGCAGCAATAAGCAATCAATCAAAGAGTAACACGTTGGGGTAAGTTGTGTCTATGTAACATAACAAAAGGTTTCTGATAAAATTATTAGATCAGTTTCTGCTGCTAAATTGGCAGGTATCAAAATTTAAGCTAATTGGAAGGTACGATTATGTAGCCAGCAGTTCTAAAAAAGATTGGACATGGCATATCCGAGGTATCAAGGGAATTTAAATTTTTACATACAAACCATCTCATAAGTATATCGAGAATATCGAAAATCCAGTAAAACATAAAATGTTTTTCACTTCTGCTGCTGTAAAATACAGTGAATGAATGGGGCTGACGACGAATGACGGGAATCATTTAAGGGCCATTCTCAGTAGATGTGCGAAAAAATTGTTGTTGTTGTTCATTTACGTCGCACTAGAGGTACACAATGGGCTATTGGCGACGGTCTGGGAAACATCCCTGAGGATGATCCGAAGACATGAAATCACAATTTTGATCCTCTGCAGAGGGGATGGCACCCCCGCTTCGGTAGCCCGACCACCTACACGCGAAGTCGAGCACTTTACGGTAGAACAGTTTAACGAGGACCAATACCGCACACCCTCGGTCCCTATGCAGGCTGATCCAAGTGGTCACCAACCCGCGCACAGACCGCAGCCAGTGATGCTTGACTTCGGTGATCTGCTGGGAACAATCTAATGCAAAGAATAACCTAATTAGAATATTTTTGTTAAGCAAAAATTTTCCCCTTACCTGGTTCTCATTTATTAGAGATACATTTTTTAATACGAAAAAATTGCCTATAGTGAGAATACTTTCATTCTGATGGTGGATCATTAGGTGATCAGAGGTGTGCTAATCACATAAAGTGAGAATCGCATCTTGTAAGATTTTTACTGATTTAAGGACCAATAAAACAGCATACAAAAAGTTGGCATATTGGAATTAAGAGATGCGATCTTGAATCTGACTGGCGAACTACCTTTACCACCGAAAAACTCCTAATCGGGTATTCGTTTGCATCTCTGAATTCTCATGTGTGATTTCTTTTATGCAGCGACAATCCTCCCTAAGTGAGCATTCACACTGTAAACGAAAAAAGTTCGATTCCTATTTTGAGCAGAAATAAGCAGCTACAAGCAGTATGAGGAGATTAGAAACAAAAAGTTGCCGATAATCAGAAAGAAGTTATAAAGTGTATAATTTATGAACTTCAACATTGTCAGACGATTCCACGCTTTAAACCTTTGTTCATTAACAGTTTTATTGCTTTGAAAAGATTTTCTTTAGCTGTTATTTTCTTATTTTAGGATAAAAATGATGCAACTGAAATCTGTTTTCGTTACTGGAGCGAACCGAGGTATTGGATTAGAATTCGTTAAACAACTTGTTAAACTTCCTGAACCACCAAGTGTTATATTTGCCAGTTGCCGAGATCCAACTAAAGCTGAAGTAAATTTTAATAAGTTGTTATTTATTAAATATGTGGTCATTGATGCTTTTTATATAATATTTGAAAGAATTTCTGTGTAGTTCCTCCTCATTATCTAAAAAGAATATCTAAGCTAAAAGATAGGAACTATTTTTAAAAAAAAATTGTGCTGTCTGCATTAGTGTTGTCAACGCGTTTAGTTTTTTAAGATATTGTTGATATTTGGATATTTTATCCATTGTATTATAATATATTATTTACGTACGGTTCCAAACTTGCTTCATAAGCAGCTCGACCAGTACTAGTACTGACTGATTTATATTTTATTTTGTAGATTCTTTTTGAATAATTCTATTCTAAATAAATGCAATTTGAAAACATATCTCTGAAATTTTATATTAGGCTTTTTTTCTAAAACTGTTGTGGCATATCTGAAAATGCAACTAAAGACTCTTATGTCTAAGGGCAATTCTACGATGTTTGGCTTAAACCATGAACTTAAATTTCAATAACAATAAATTTTATAAATCGTAAGTTAAATTTAAAATTAATAAATTTTGTTTGTAAAATACAAAGTTGTCATGTTTTAACAAAAAACTATTAGCTAAATAGATTATACAGTTTTAGATATACAGATAATAGATTGTATAGATTATTCTAAATAGAACAGTTTTTTCTTCTTTGGACTTAAAACACACTAAAGTAATTATTGATTTCTTCTTTAGGCACCTCTAAATTCTGTGAATCAGTTTGTGATTTAATTTTAAACACAATTAAGTTTTAGAGTTTACATGTGAGTAAAATACTTTTAGACAGTTCTTAAAAAATCCAATATAATTAGTGATTTTTGGTGCAGAGTTAAATTGGATCATTTTGCTAAGACTTTTCCATTTTAGTAACAGCATCGGATTGAGGGAGTGGTAATTGAGGCTCCAGCACCTTGATTATTGAAGAGGCCGACATAAATTGCAATAATGGAAGAAAGTGGTTAATAAAAGAATAAAAATTAATGAATTTTATAAAAACTAATTACTGGTATTTTTATTATAAGTTCAAAAAATTCATATTTTTACAAACTTGCTTTCTTCAAATATTTTATTTAATACAAAGAAATAAGATGAAGATCTCATGTACCAATATAAAATCCTATCCCATCTGCAAGTACTGTCCATATTTGCAACTAACTCCAGGTCATTATCTGCTCCCTCTTTCAACTTGGAGCACCCCCCATCAAAATTTTCCATGACCATCGGGCTCCAGAACTTGCAAATCTTGTTATCAAGACTTTTGGAGAACTCTCATCTTTGCACTAGCACTGTATGCATAGACACGACAACAACAAATAAGAGATGAGAAAAAAAAATTTTGTATTTCAATGTTCAATTTTTGCATGAGCAGAAAAAGTCATTGCCACCAATAATAAATTATGTAATTTATAATTCATTGTGGTCATCATTTTTTAGATAAATAAGTCAGCGGTTTTATGTTACAATTAGTATCATTTACTTAACCACTTTTTTGCTAAGATCTTGATTGTGGTGTGAACATTTTTTGTATTGTTCACAATATGGATTGGGAATATGTTTGTAAGTTTGTAGTGCTGAAAAATAAAAAGCAACAAAGTTTGGAAAATATTTTTTACAAAAAAAAACTCTAAAAGATTTTTGATGATGTATTCTGTTTAATGAAATTTAACTAAGTTAATGTATTCTGTCTTTATTTCCCAGAAAAGTTGATAATTATCACTCTAAAGCTGTGTGAACTTTAAACTATCACCGATCGAACTCCAGTTCTTTACAGTGCCTTTAACCTCTAAGCCATTGCAGCTTACTGTGTTATACATATAGTATGAGTATTCATACATACACTTATGTTCATAGCATACATATTACTGTATAGATTTAATGCACATATAAATTGTCAAGTCCTTAACTTATTTTAAAATTGATTAATAATTCATCGGTATAATTCATTAATGATTTTTTACTAACTTAACACTAGATAATTATTATTATTTAACTTTGAAAACATATTAGAATTTTTGTTTTAAATAAGACCCCACTTTACCACTCAGTTCTGTGCCACCGTGATCTGCAAAGTAGCATGAATTAAATGACTGAGTTAGCCCAATTTATTTTAATAGAAATGAGAAGAGAGGACACCTTATCACTTTTTTTTTGTGTATTTCATACTTTTAGAAAATGAAAGTCTTTATCTTCAACAATTTTATATTGTGCAATTTCTCACAAGACTAACAAAAGTATGTATTTTCTAAAAGTAATAGTTAATAATAAATAATCCCAAGAATCTGAAGCAGAAAAGATCTACTTTATTAAAATCTACATTGGCTTCAAAAAAATATCATAATGGTACCAAAGGTTGACATGTTTCAAGCGCTCAAAAATTGTTGCCCATTTTCAAGTCATGCAAGATGTGATGTGAATTCATATTGTTTTGATTTAATTAAATTTTTATTCAAGCAATAGCTATATTATATAAATTCAGTGGTTTATTAATATTCTATTTATTTTTAGGAATTGAAAAAAATTTCAGAATCAAACTCGAGTGTCAAGATCATTCAGATGGGTAAAATTTAGATTTTTTCCTTTACAGAAATATTAAATGCAATAAAGTTATAAAATAATTTACTCATATATTTCCTTAAATTTGCCTCTTAATTATCAAAATAACATGCCCTATATCTTAATTATCTTTATATTTTAATGTGAAAATAACACTGTTATTAATTCAAGTTATTACTGTGTTGAGTCACATCAAACAAATTATTCATCAGTTCTTTCTACAACTCATTATATAACTTTGTTCTTAGGATCTAATTTTATGAAATATGACTTAGCCTCAAATATCCATGTTTAAGTGTTTTTTAAAGCTCCTAATTTATTTTAAAATAAATCTTATTTTGAAAACTTTTTAATCATTAGTAAACTTCATAAATTATTCATGAATAAATTTAATTTTAAAATCTGTTAAAACTACTGTTAGAACTGATTTATTTATGCTCCTGCACCTGATGTTTGACGATTTCCTTTTTCTTGCCCCTACTATTTTATCGTTTTTTATTGACCCCACTTTCGTCATATGCCTGAAGCAGAATCAATAGTTGATATCTTATTAAATTTTAAGTTTTTTTGTGTTAGTTATTTTTTAACACAAAAGATGCATTTCATAAATCAAAAAACTGCAGGTCTAATCAAATGTCATTCCTCAGGCATCTGCTTTATTACCATTCTGAACCAAATTTCATTAAAAAAAATTAAAAAAAGAAACTGCAGATCTATGTCAAGTGTTAACCTCCAAGCAACAGTTCTTTTACCGCTCTGCTGCAAGTTTTATAAAAATAAAACAGCATGTATATATAACACTATTATTCAACAATGCTAAATATGTATATCATAAAAGAGGTACAATAATAAGCACGTTAAATCTAACACATTAAAATTACTCACTTATAAGGCATGTACCTTATTTTTTTACCTCAAAATTATGTTAAACTGTCATTTTGACAGATGAACAGCAATAGTAAATGCATTTATTTTTAAAATTGATTCCACAGGCATATTAAATCTTTTCACGCACAACATGCTTGTTTCATAAAGCAATGGCGTGAACATACCCGGGTGTATTAAAAACATAACACCTTTAACTAAAATTGTTAGCCTCGCCCCCGTTGTACTAAGATTCTGTGCAACACTTCAAAATTAATTTGATTATTCTTAATTTATCCAGTTAATGTATATGGCCTGTTAGAAACATCCTGGAAATTCTTTTACTTAAAAAAAAAATCGTCAGTATAGTAAATTCTTTAAAAATTCATACCGTACAATCGCACTTAAACTTATGGCAAACATGGATGAAGATTTTGCGTGTTGCTTCAAACTTAATATGAAAATCCAATGTTAATCATAAACAACCAGACAATTCCTTAACTTCAAAAAAAAAAAAAAAAAATCAGAGTTATGAAATTCCCAAAATTCACACTTAAACTTCATGAAAAAAAAGGCTGTCAAGATATTAAGTCTTCCCAATCACCCCATCATTATATCACATTTATTTCTATTATCTTGTCTAAGAGTTCGTGGGTTCGATCCCCGCCGGCCGAAGACACCCCGTGTGGTAAATGGTGACTGGTGCACATTAAATCTGTCGAGTCTCAAAGTCCTCCAAGTTCCCATAACAAATCAATACCTCTGGCGGTACTGATCCAGGAGCTTCCTTGTCTTCTGGATTGGTTCAAAATAACAAGGCTACAAAGTTGAACATTAGTAGTTGTAAACCCAAAAATTGGGTCGGCTGTTCAACGACGAATATATTATCTCATACAATCCAAACACTACCTTAGCAGTCATTATTACTGATATTGACATCTAAGAAAATTTCTTTGAAAAAACTTGTACAGGCGCATAATAAATCAGTTCTCAGCTCTTTATTTTTAAAAATATTTCAATTAAATTAATCACATTGTGATTACTTTTCATAAATCTAAAACATTCTAATTATTTTAGTTCTGCTGTGTAGAATTATATTCTTACGAAATTAATATGCTTATTCACTTGGCTTTCAAAAATTGTTTTTCTAATACTTCCATAAAATATAAAGATTAATATAATTTAAGCAAATAATAATAATGTAAATGGAATTTTTTCTAAAAAGTGATAAAGGAAGAATTTAAATATAGATTTTTTTTTTTTTTTACGAAANATAAGATTTTTTTTTTTTTACGAAAAGCTTTGTTCGGTACAGTAAGGGAAAAAGAAGTCACGCTATTGTGGTAGCTAATTACTGAAGATTCAATTTCTTAAGAAGTATGGCAATAGCTAGGCAAGTTTTTGTAAAATTTTTTAGAAATTTGAAAATTAGCATTGAAGATGATTCATTTTGTTCCAATAATGTACATTATGTTTTTGGTTTCTCTTTATTATTCTACTTACATAAACTTTTTTTTTTGAAGGACACACTTAAATTTGAAATTTAAGATATTAAATTTCTTACATTAAGATATTAAATTTCTTTAAAAAATTATAGTTACATTTTTATTTTTTCTTCTAAAAACATTTTACATTTTTTGTATCTATAACCTTTTGGTATCTCTGTGTTCCTATGAATTACTTTTTCTAGACAAATTTTAAATTAATATAGGAAAACATTTTTTGAATTAAATCATTTGATTTGTTTTCTAGATTCTTATGTTAGCTTATTGGCTTTATTGTGAAATTCGACAGCAATGTTTTAAGTTATTGGTGGCTTTAAATTTACGTTTAATAATACAAAATTAAGAATTTTTGCTTAAATTATATTTTGTTTCAATTTAGATATAAAAGATCATGATAAATTCCCTCAAATAAGACAGCAATTGGAACAAGAAATTAGTAAAGATGGATTGAATTTACTCATCAATAATGCTGGTCTCTTGGTTCAACAAAATTTAAGTTCTGTTACAAAAGAAGCAATGATGGAATCTTTTGAAGTAAATGCTGTGAGCCCTCTCCTTTTAGCAAAGGTATGCAAATGCTATACAACTACACAAACTTATAAATTATTATTATTTTGTTTATTTATTTATTTTGTATGTGCCTACAGTTCTGTGACTAATTTTAAATATGTTTTGTATTCTAATCTATAATTTAAAAAATGTGTAATTTTTAGAATACTACAAGCAATATGAGTTTGCCACCAAATTTTTGAACATTTAACAATACTCTAAATATTCAAAAGTTATGTACTTTTATATTCTTCTGTTTTTAATAATACTTTTATGAAAGGCTTGGTTTGTCAATCCGAAATATTTGTATGTTTCTTCATGTTGAAAAAACTTTCATTGTATCTTAAGAGAATTATGAGGTACATTAATAAAACACAAAATGTTAAATCATAAGGGTTATTAAGAGTAAAATCATTAAACGCAAAAAAAAAATAATAAATTTAATATGATTCGCCATCAAATTAATTAGAAAGGGTGATAATATCAGATTTTTTTAATGAATTTTATTAAGAAGCTTCTTTGGCTGAACTTAATTATCTAAGGGGTGAAAATGGAGGAGTTCTAAGTAAGCTTTGGATTCTCTTTTACAAATGTTGATGTAACATTACTATGATAAACATTTTTTTTAAAGTTAATTTAGTATTATGCATTTGTGTGCATTTAGATTTTAGATCTTTTTTTGTGTGCATTTAGAAAAAATATTTTTGTTTCCATGTGATTTACAGTGAAATTTTTTCAGCGTCATCTGGATCAGTTTTCATCATTTTAAACTATAATAATAAAAATAATTTTTAAACCAAACATAGCTATAAGACTTTTTTGACCAAATTTTGGACCCCTTAACGTTAATGTTACTTTATGCATATTTTATGATATATCAAAAACTTTTTAAGTGAATTCAGAAAATTTTGCACAAAATTATAAAACTAATTGGTTCAAAGATAATTCCTTGCAAAATATAACTTTTAGTAAATATTTCTTATATTTTATTATGTTATTTAATAACAGTTGAAAAAATTTTGAATTGTTAAGGTATACAATTTTTTACAACATTTTAAAGAATGCAATTTTAAATGGCAAAATACAAAATTTCAGTAAAATCAGTTTAATAGGTTCTTAGAAATCGAATTTTGAAAAAATAGTATATTTTAAATTCAATTTCTCAATAACTATTTGAAGGATTTTGCTCAAATTTTGTATTTTGCCATTTAAAATTACATTCTTTGAAATGATGTAAAAAAATTGTATGCCTTACAATTCAAAAATTTTTCGATTGTTATTAAATAAAATACTAAAATAATAACTATTCACTGAAAGTTATATTTTGCATGAAATTATCTTTCAATAAACGAGTTTTATAATTGTGTGCATAAAATTTTCAGTTCCCTTAATCATTTCTTGAGATATGGTGAAATACGCAAAAAGTAGAATTGACATTAAGGGGTTCAAACTTTGGACTGCTGTCTTGACCAAACTAGTAGGACCCTCTATATTTTGGGGGTCAAAAAAAGGTATGTTTATTCAGAGAAAGTATGTTTTTGTGTCTGATTTTGTAACTTAAAATATGTTCTGCATTAATTAATTAGCATATTTGAGGTTACCCCCTCGAACCCTTAAAATTGACTCCTAGATCGTGAAGATCCAATCATTAAATCAAAAGTTTTTTAGAGTGATCCGTTTTTTTTTTTTTTAATTTTTGCACCCTACATTTATAGATAAAAAGTGATGGTTACAAAATAGATGCATGAAAAACTTTTGCAACTGAAATTTAATTCAATGTTCATGCAATTCTTGGAAATTATCTGGTTATGATTTAGAAAATTTAAAATATTCCACACTTATTTATTTATTTAAAAAAATCTGAAGTAATAGCAACATAATAATTTGTAGTGTTTACTGCTACACAATATAGTTTCTATCACTGGGACAGTTTTTCTTAATCTCCTTTTATCCACGTATTGTTTGAAAGCTTTGGAAATTTTCTAACACCTAAGCAGGGTTTGTTGATTTAAATCAACTGATTTTATGTATACATATATATTTATTTAAAAAGTTTTTAAAAAAAACAGTGTTTTAAATTATTGATACTTTTATTATTTCTTTTCGAAGTTTTAAAATTTATTTTGAATAAATTGCTGCATTACTTAATTTTAGCTAGCGAAATTACTTTCTTTCATGGCATATGTTAAGTTCTAACACATTTGAAATTACATTTTCAAAAATCTTTTTATTCTTGGGATTGAAAGTACAGATTAAAGTAAACATTTTAATTTTTTTTCTCATAATATGTTTACAGCATCTTTGACATTATCAAATTCTCTATAAAGAAATTTTGTGAAAAGAAATTTCAATGAGTACATAGATTTAAAAAAAAAAAATTTTTTTTTTAGCTTAACTTATCTATTTTGATATAGGATTAAAAATAAATATTTTAATATAAAAATATATAGATTGAATATTTATTTATTTTTTGATGAATGACTACAAAACACGATCTATTACATTTATTTTGTCATTTTTAAAATCAAAAGAAAAAAAAAGAAATCAGAATTTTAAATTAAAATTATGGTTTGGTAATTTAAACTTAGCTTTAAAAGTTAAAGTATTCTTTAAATTCTCTATTTCATCTAGTCTTTAAATTTCAATCATGCATTTGTTTTAAAATGGTTACTATGCATTCAAAGCTATGTATTATAATGAAAGATTGTTTTAGGTAGTTAGAGCTTCTAAAATATTCTTATAATAAAGTTTTAATATTAATTTAATTTTGATTAAACATTTATTAAGTTTTTTTAGTCATAAATCAAAGTTCTTACAGTGTATTTTTTAAAAATCACAAACCCTGCGACTAAGCAAAAATCCTTTAAATGTATAATAAATAATTATTATATAAGAAAAAAATTCGAAGTACAAAATTTTGTATGCAAGATTTTTTGTTATTTTTTACAAGAAAAGGGATTTAACAAATAATAAAGAATTTAAATGAATGCAATTATGGGAAAATATTTTACAAAAATAGGTTTTGCAATAATTTTTTATTCATGTGCCCTGTCCCCTTTACTGAGAGAGGATTACTTTACTTAAAATCAGAATGAAGAAATTTTTTATGTTATTTATTTTAATTTTAGAAATTTAATACTTTACATCTTCTTCATAAACCTAACTTTTGAACTTTCCTTGTACCACCAATTCAGAGCATCTACTTTTAATTTATTTTCATATTTTACTATAAATTTAAAGGTTGTCAAATGTTTCAAATAAAGTAATGAGATTGAATTTTTTCATAGTAGTATATAAAACGGAAAATTTCAATATAAAAACTAAATTATTGTTTATTTCTGTTAAAATTTGGTTGAACTGTTTATTTTGATTGATAAAAATTCTTAAGTTATTGTTTAAAATTTTATTTCATTTCCTAAAGATTAAAGTAACACTATTATTATACATGGAATCATTTAAAAAAACAATAATATTTCACTTAAATAATTTTTCTGTTGATAATTTTTTAGTTGTTTAAAATTGTAATATAGGTTCATTTTTCTATCTGCCATTTTATATTTAAAAATAGCTGCATTTAATTTACTAATCATAATTTCCATTCACTAAAAAAAAAAAAGCTCTTCATCTTCTCTCCTTCATATTATGAATATTTTTGTGGTTTTAATATTTCATTTAAATATCCCCTCTTTTATCATTTTTAGGAGCTCTTGCCTTTACTAAAAACAGCTGTTTCAAAATCTTCTATTCCAAGTATGTCAGCTATACGTTCTGGTATCGTGAACATAACTTCTAAAATGGGTTCTATTGATGATAATACAAGTGGTAGTCACTATCCTTACAGAACTAGCAAGGTAAATCATTACAATGTTATGTTTTTGTCCGAATTGAAACCCCTGTAATTCAAGCTATTCAAAATTACAGCAAATTGAAAAGGGGGAATGTAAATACAGTCAGACTTCAATATAAGGTCACCCCGCATATAAGGTCACTTTTCCAAAGTCCCGGCTCATTGAATAGGAATTCTATGTTACAGATTATCGGATATATGGTCAAGGACAATGATAGTGGTCCGGAGACTGTAGCTGTCACCCAAGCGGAAGCCTTCAATGCAATAAATGTCATACGAAATTTTTTTGCAAACCATGAGGGAGCTAAGAAACATTTTGAGAAAATACAAAATCTAGAAAACATTGTTCGAAAAATTAAACCAAAAACGAGACAGACCTGCATAAATGATTTATTTTAAATAAGGTGAGGTACACTTTGAGGAAATTTGTAAACAGCTTTATTTTAAATTAAATTTTTTATTTTTTTTTAACTCTAACTTTCTTTACTAGTTCTGTTAAAATTTATTGACTTAAACATTTAATTTACGACCGATCGTTTTCGTTGGTATTACCATTTTTAAAAAATCCTAATGTGTACTATTTACGTGCTTAGTTACGAACTGCTAAAGAATCTGCTAAAAGGTCACACCGCTTATAAGGTCACTTTTGTGATGTCCCTTAGGGTGACCTTATATCAAGTTCTGACTATTTTGATTGTAGGAAGAATTTAATTTATACCATTAAATGACTGCATTTCGTTGTTTCATAGTTATGTGAAATTTAAAAATTCCTCGACATGCGAATAGTATTAATCTCCAGCAATAACATTGCAATTACAAAATGCATTTTCTCGATTTATAACAATATTCTTTAAATAATTATCATTCTGATAACATTTTGTCCTGTATGTTTCATTCAGTGCCAATCATGGCTGTGAACCTTCATTATATAAAATTAAATAGTTAATACTTTTGGTTGCCTATTTTGTAAACTCTCTTTCAAAAGATGTTCATAATGGAAATCATGACTTAAGACTTAAATTTATAAAAACTCTAATATATCTTGTTTCCTTAGATATACCAGAACATGCTTTCAAAAGAATTAACAGCCACAAATTGTAAATGAGCTTATAAGTAGCTCCAAAATCAAGAATGCTTTTGTGATCACTTCGGTAACAAACCATTTGCATAATCATCACAAAGTATCATTATTAATGCATAAAAAAATTAAAGCTCACTAAAATGAAGCTAGTTTAATATTTTCTTTAACTATGAATAAATATATCCTAGTTATGCTCAAAATAAGAAGTTATGATTAAGAAATTTTATATGTAAAAATTATTTAAAATACTGTAGAGGAATAGAATAAAATATATTATAGATGTGTAGAATTAGCATTATTATACATATGTTTTAAATATATGTATCATAATGTTTATTTCATTTTATTTTTGTTACACAGAAATTAAGTGAAATATTTTTATACCAGATACTTTTATGAAAGCTCTAATTTGAAGAGTGTAATATGATAAATTTTGATAGGAAGTAAGAGATTTTATTAATATTTGACTGCTTAACTTATATGTTCAATGGTAATCACGCCTACATAGAAATAAAATAAAGAGAAGGCTATCTTGTACTCATAAATAAAAATATATAAAGTATCTGCAAAATGTCAGAAATAAATAAGCAAAGTCAAAATAGTCTTAACTCAAAATAAAATTTTTTAAAGATAACTATTTTATTATTATTATTTATATTCAATTTTATAGTATGAAAGTAAGTTATCGTTTTATAATTTAGTCATAACACTAATATACAATGTCAGAGGTTCAATTTTAGTTTGTTTGTTAATGTCAAAAAGATAAATATTTTGTATATAATGTATTGTAGTTAAAAATTAGCATGTTTTAATTTAGTTTTAATATTTCATGGTTTGAGGACCTTATGTACAATTTTACTCTACATGGAAAACTTACTAAATTTTGGGTCATAAGTGTATTATTTTAATAATAATTTAGCATAATCATTAAAAAAATTAAGATAACTTTTTTTTATGTTTTTAATAATTGCCTTATCTTACTCTCTAAATACCATTTCTTTTCTTAGTGCATCTTTTTTTTCTTCCTTACAATGATTTTGCTGTTATAATGAATCATTAATTCTGTGAAATATTTACACCAAATTTTGTTGTGAGCAAGCAGCCAAAAACTAAAATTTTCTTTTTAAATGTTAAAAAATGTCATAAGCTTTTCAATCTTTGTTTTACATCTGATACCTTTTACCAATCTTCCAAAGTTTGATTCTCAATACAGTTCAACAATCTTTTTTATAAGGATTGTGAATTCTGCACTTATCTAATTATTTACTGCTGTACTTACTGAGTATTCCTAAGACAATAAAATGTAAAGATTATTAAACATGATTTCTAGCTTTACAATGGGAAACTGTTTAGTTTATTTTTAAAGAGTGTATTGGTAACATTAGTAGATATCTTATTATTATTTGTTTGAATTAAAAGTAAATTTTTTTTACTAGGATTGCCCAGCTGCTCTTGAACTTTTTGCAATCAACAACAATTCTGGTTGTTACTAACCATCATCGATTGTTATTGATTTTGAAAACTTTACCATCCTATCGGGGGGGGGGGCTAAGTCCATGACTTAATCCTATTATATTTGATTAATATTTTTATTTTATTTAATCAAATTAACTTAGCAAATGAGTTAAATTGCTAATTAGTTCCCTCCTTAAAATATTGAATTAAGTACGTAAGAATCTAGTCCCAGTTTTTATGACATAAGACAGGTAACATTGGTTGTCTTGCATTAAGCTTTCGACCTGTGTTTTTAAACTTTAATTTAAAAAAAAAAATAATTTAAAAAGCTAATGTGTGATAAAACATTTTATCATTACTTTTTTATTATGTGCTGTCAAATTTTCAAAACTTTATTTTGCATTAAAATTAGTATTTATTTTTAGACAGCTCTAAACATGATTACCAAATCTTTGGCAGTTGATCTTAAAACTCATGGAATTGTAGCATTTGTTTTGCATCCTGGCTGGGTGGCGACAGACATGGGAGGAAAGAATGCTCCAATCAATACACGCACTAGTGTTGAAGGCATGTTGAATGTCATTTTGACAGCAACAGAAGAAAGCTGTGGTGGCTTTTTTAATTATGATGGCGCTAATATTTTATGGTAAAAAAAAGATGCAAAAAGTTATATCATGAGATTATTTTGTCTTGAATTTTTTTAATAAAATAATCAGTTGAACAATTGTTTCTTGGCATTTTATTATGTAAATATATTTATGTCAGTGGTTCGCAATCTTTTTTTTGTGACGGCACACTTTTAACAATTTCGAAATTTGACGGCACGCAATGAAAAAAATCAGTTTAAAAGTTGTTTACTTACCTATAATACACTGTGTTAAATAGTTTGTGATAATAATTTTGAAGTAAAATATTTACTACAAAAGCATGTTTGTTTAGGGATTAATTATTTCTTCTGACTAATTTTTTGTTAGTAAGTTATTTATTTTTTTGCTGATTTTAATTGTTTTCTATAGTTATTAACTGTTCTTTTTTTTAAATTGTTATTTTTTGTGATTTCTTATTAACTAGTTTTTTTTTTGCTAATTATTAATTGTTAGCTTATTTTTTTGCTAGTTATCCTTTGTTAATTTGTTTTTATAACTATTAAATTGCATAGCTTACTTTAATGATTAGCTTTTATTTCTGTTTGAAAGTTAATATTTAGCTTGCTTTCCTTTGTTAATTTATCATTTAAATATTCATTAAATTTCCTACTTATTTCAACATTTTTTAAAATTGTCTGCTTATAGACAATTTAAACACTTCCTTCTTATTTTAAGATTGTTGGCGATTGTCTTGTTTCTGACAAAGATGTTCACACGGTTAAAGCGTGAAAAAATTATAAAAAGTATATATATATATATATACATAATATTATATATATACACTTCTCTTTTATTTAAAGTTTACTCGCAATAAGAAAAAACATTATACTTGTTATTGTATCATTCCTAATATTTGGCGGCACAGTGGTTGAGAATCACTGATCTATGCAATCAAATATTTCGCTTTCTTTTTCTAACAGTTAATTTTGTATTTATTGAATAGGAATCTAAAACATTTTATTAGTTTGTGTAAAAATATCAAAGAGAAGACTAAATTTATGCAAAAAATTTATTTAATCACATTAATAAATACACTATGTATAAATATTTACAACAGATGATTTGTTAAATACATGCTGATTAATTTTGAATTGAGCATTGCACATAAATATTTATTGATTTAATTTTTAAATACTGCATTACATGTAATGACTATTCAGTCATTATTTATTCAGGTTTTCAGTATTATTCAGGTTAGTGTGATGAAAAGCACAAAATCTTTTTTGTCCTGTAAAAATTTAGTTTTTAAGCATATAAATACTTAAAATTGTTTATTTTAAGGAACAACTAGTCAGTAAAATATAAAAACAATTTTTAAAACAACTTTTAATGAAAATAGTATTGCAAATTTAAAAGTAGAATTTCAGAAATAAAATATAGCCTAACTGGTGAGGACTGGAAATTTAACTGAATAAGCAGTGTCATCTTGACAGTGGAAGGAAAGGATCCAGTTAATACTTAATTATAGGAAACAGGCAGTCTTTTTTTATAAAATTATTAAATCTATAAAGAAAATCTTTCCTAAATTATCTTTTAAAAAAGAAAACTATCTAAAAACTTACAATTCCATAGACTTTGAATGTCTCTTTAAATCTATCATGTAAGCTAAGACTAAATCATTTCAAACCTTAAGCAATAAACATGCTTTTAAAACCATCGATTCGTCAAATTTTAAAAAATAATTTTATGTATCACATAAGCAATCATTCATTTTTTAAGAACAAATTCACTGATTTTCTTTTTAAAAAATATAAGAACAAAATAATAGCAACTGTAATGACAGGGGGGAGGAATAACAATTTCATATCTGGGAGTGCATTTGATGTTTAGTTCCCAAGAACAATGCTATTTTGAGTCTAACATATCCACATGTGAGCCTGCTATGCTTATTTCATAGGCATGGTATATTGTTGATGGCCACCTGATCTGTTTTATTGTCTTTTTTGTTTAATGTAAAAGCAACCAAACAGACAGTCAAAAATTACTTTTCTTTTCTTTAATATAATTTTTAAAAGAAAACTTTCACTACATTTACCTAATTTAAAAAATATAAACATGTAAAATTATTATGTTACAATTAAATTAATCAAAGATTATGGAAAATTGTTTGATGATCAAGTTAAAGCTCTGATATATGACATATCTTTGTTGAAGTCTTGTATAACCATGTGTACTCTATATGCTTCTGTACAAAATATGATTCTTTAAAACATGAAAATCACAATACAATTTATCTTTTAAAAACTGTTTCACACAATGAAATTTTAAAAGAAAATAATAATACATTAAAATATCACACTTTGGATCCTGATGACTTGTGCTTATACATTTCCTCCAATCCTGATGTTTGACCATATAAATTATTTGGTATTCGTCGATTCCCTGCAACTCCATTTTGTGATTGTTGTGTTAAGAATGCTGCTGGAATGGGTGGTCTGTGTCGCCCATTTTGGAACATTTTGCGAGGCAAGGAACCAGACTCAGAAGTTCGTTTAGTTGAAGAACTCTGTTCTTCATTTCGGAAATCGAAAAACTCTGATACAGGTCTAGACCTTGGTGAACTCACTGTATGTCTATAATATCGTTTGTGAGGACTAACCATATGAGAGTTTGTGAGGAGATATGGGCTTTGTACTTCTGATGAATCATTGAAAAACAAGTTTTGGTGATGACGAAATTGTTGCAAATGCTGCTGGATTTCTTGAAAATTCATGTAGTGACTGTAGCGATCAGGATCTACGAATCCCTTCCGACTTCCAGGCCTGAAAAATTAATTTACATTATTAATTTTTAAAACTGATACAAATTTTAATTATTTCTTTGTTAAAACCTATTCCACGTTAATTGTTAAATTTAGTTATTCTTTAGAATTATTATCTGGTGTCTTGTGTATGCCAGAATGTAAAAAAGCTTTAAGTTTTTGAAAAAAAATTCTGAAAAGTTCTAAAATTACATTTTAAACATTTATTTAGTTTTTTGTTTATATCTGATACTACAGATATGTCATATTGAAAAAGTTGAATTAATTTCCCAACATGAACTTCAGTTCATGAAATCATTTGGATTATTCTTACATTCTTTTCTAGTATGATAAGCAACTATTAATGTACAAGAATTTTAAGCAAGGAAAAATTTTACATGTTGACGACTGAGCCATTTAATTCTTTCAAATTAATTGTGTATGCTGAAAAATGTTTTAAAAAATAACCAAAATTAATTTTATATCGATTTTTAGAATTAACACTATCCAGGATAATAGGAAATTAAAATCACTTAAATAATTTTGTCTAAATTGGTTAGCTGAGCCTTTTTAATTTTGCCCTCAAGCTTTTATTTCGTATAAAATATTTCTAGACACTATAAGCTAAATTACGTTTATGATATTCATAATTTTTTCACTATATATGTTGAACTGTGCAAGCTAAAAAAAATTGAATAGCATAAAATGAAATAACATTTCTCTCAGAATGATATACAAAAAGCTTTTAATAAAATAGATAGGTTATTAGTGTCTTAAAAACTTACTTTGACATTTCTTTATAAATTTCTAATGTTTTTGACTTTGGAGATAATTCTGCACAGTTTTCCTAAAAATAATGTGTCATAGTTAATATATGCAAAATGTTGAAAGGTAAAAAGTTAGTCTTAAATATATATATATCTGTTTCAATTTGTATAATTGTTCTCAATTAGAAATATTTTAGCAGCTCTAAAGTTAAATAACATTTAATTTAGAGTTTATTTTGAAGTTAAATAATGTTTTGAACCGTATTTTTATAAACCAAATGATGTAAAGATAGCAAGAAAGCATACTGTTAGTAAAAAGTCCAGTACTAAGTGTCAAACAGTATAATTTAAAGCAAAAACCCAAATTATTTTGTTCTCCAAACATAATTATAAAATAGTAAATCACCAACTCTACTCATATGGAGAAATAATCATAATCTAGTCAAGAGCGGTCTGCGTCACACACTTTCTTCGGTTTAGATCAGGGGTGGCGAACCTTTATACACCAACGTGCCATTTTTTCTAAAAAATTGTTTGATGAGGTTATAGACGTGCCGTCAAATAATATTGACTTCGTGATTATTGGGAAAATATTAATACTAAATACTATCAACTCAAAACTCTTTATTTACAATGAAAAAAAAAAAAAATTCGCATTGTCTCAGTTATACGCGTAATTCAACTTAAAGTAACATCAGTGTGACTTCTGTTGTTGCAGATTAGATGACAAATAACTTATATTAGGTTGTAAGATGTTAGTTTAAGCAGGACTGTTAATTTTTTTGATAGTTATTTATTGTTAGCTTATTTTTTATGGTTATTGTTTTTTTAGCTTAATTGTTAATTTTTTATTAATAATAGTTTATTATTTTGTGTGTTTTTTGTGAATTTTAATTTAATTGTTACATATGCTTCATAGTGTAATACCATTTGTGTAATAACAAATGTGATCGGTGGCGTGCACGAAATATTGTGTCGTGTGCCATAAATGGCACGCGTGCCAATGATTCACCATCCCTGGTTTAGATAATCACTATCTTATCCACTTCAGGTTTTTTCTGCATTTCTGTTTGCAACACTATAATTTGTAAGAGCTCTTGTGATTGGTTTGTTTAAATCATATGCTGATGACATTTCATAATTTCCGGATGGCAACATCTTTACTCTAAAGTTTAGTTTTTTTTTTTTTTTTACTCATTTGGTCTGCAATCAGCAAAAACAAAGATTTAAAATCAAATAAGATTTTCTTTCGGAAATTACGTATAAATTGCAAATATTGTCAATGTATTCCACGGAAATAACCATTTAAAAGCTTAGACTCATCACAATTACAATAATAGGTAACTTGACACCAAAAGAGTAACATACAACTTCAATGCAACATAATAATTTTAATGATTTAAATACGTTCTGATTTTTAAACATCTAAAAATTTTCGGCAGACATTCAAGGATAATCCATCACTTATATTTTTATATTGATCACAATGAAACAATTGATTTTTAAATCCATAACATTTCATTTATGTTAACAACTCTACCATCAAAAATAGTTAAAATTACTATTTTCTTTTCATATTTTTGGTAAATTAAATCAAAGATAGGTTAATAGATACTTTTTTAAAAACAGATTAGAAAAGAAACCAACTATAGCGTGTTGCAAAAGTTTGTAATAAATAACACATTTATTTTTATTCTATATATACAGCAGTATTTTCATCTTGTGATTAAAATTAAGTTAAGATATTCTGAAGAGCTAGGTTTCAGAAATTGCATTTTTAATTTCGATGCTAAATTTGCAGAGATTATAATTGCAAAAAAGCTTGTTTATTAAGTATTCAACATAATATGAAGTTGTTTATTTTGCAGGATAATGGTCATCTAATCAAGCTAATAAGCATACATTTGACATTGCATAAACTACATTTTCTGTTTTAAATTTTAAAAAAATAATAGTTTTACTTAAATAACTTATATTTTTCATAAATATTTTTTAAAGCTGATGTTAAATGATGTATCAAATGTTTTCATTTTTAAATGTTAAAACTTATTACAAGTCCTCAAAAAATTTACATTAAATCAAATAACACGATTTATAAATCATGGCTTTTCAAAATAACCTAACATCTTTGAAAAAAATAATTTTCGTAAAATTGTAAAAGTTTTTTTCCCCCAGCTTTTCTTAACCCACCAAAAAAATAATTTTTATTCAGTAATAAAAAATTTCTACTTTTTGTAAAAATTCTACTTTTGCCTATGAGTGCTCACTCAATATTCAGTTGTTGATGCTAAAAAAATATTTCACTGTATTTTTTTTAACACAATCTACATATACAGGGATGAGATTAGCCAAAAGGCAAAAAAGCTGAATTTCCACGATCGTAAATTTTACGCAAGCGCAACCTTTTAATAATAAATTCCAGACAGTTTAAGGTAATAAATAATGTGTTGACATACAATTGTGTACTATTCTATTATTATATAAATGATTACATTGCTACTTATAAGTCCACTTCATTAATGATTAATCATGCAATTAAGACAACACATATATCATTGCTAAAGGAACGAACAAAAGAAAAATCGTGGGGAAATGACATCTTTAATCTCCTCGATTGCCCAAGAAGCAGTGCTGTAGCTGCCTTTCGTCTTGCTACCAAGCACGACTGCTTATACGACCATCTTTTCCGTCTTAAAATAGTGGATAATCCTGCCTGCCCCCTCTGCCGCAGTGGTGCGACGATGAATGCTGAACATATTCNAGCACAGAATGTAAGTTTTGAATATATTCCCTTCCAGTTTCTCTGATGTTGTAACACTTACATATACTAATAATCGGCGTTAGAAAAACAGTCACCTTTATAGTAACTAATTTTAAAAAAAAATTACTTCTTACAAGAATCGCGATAGTTGATCTTAAAATTGCGTGAATATGAATAACAATTATGGATTTTGAAATCACATGAATATGAAACTAGATATACAATTTAGAAAATGAGAAAATACAAACTGGGATATAGAATTTTTAAAACGCGTAAATACAAATCACGATTCATAATTTTTAAATAGCGTAAAGACGAATCATGATGCATAATTTTTAGATTGCATAAATAAGAATTATAAATTTTTAGAATGTGTGAATGCGAATCCCAATGCCTTATTTTAAAATCACGTATAAATACGAAAATCAATGTATCATATTAAAAACCGTATGAGCAAATCAAGACATTGAATTTGAAACTTGCGTGAATACGAATCGCTACATAGGTTTTTAAAAAGGCGTAAATACGAATCACAATATTGGATTTCTAAATCTTGTAAATAAGAATCGCAAAGCACAATATTAAAATCATGTGAATAAGAATCGCAACACGCAAATATGAAAAGTTATGTTTGATATTAAAATCGTGCAAATAAAATCGAGATATTAGCAGATTCCAGGCTTGGGACCTCTAAAAGGCTCGTCAGAAATAGCGTCGTTTGAATTACACAAATCGGATATATCTGGAGGGCGGGTAAAAAATTCGGAAAATCTTATCTGCTGCGTGTAAAAGGGGAGAAAATAGCTAAAATAAGTAAAAATGAGAAAGGATTGGTAGCTATGTAGTTTNGTCAGAAATAGCGTCGCTTGAATTACAAAAATCGGATATATCTGGAGGGTGGGTAAAAAATTCGGAAAATCTTATCTGCTGCGAGTAAAAGGGGAGAAAATAGCTAAAATAAGTAAAAATGAGAAAGGATTGGTAGCTATGTAGTTGGAATTTTCTGTATCTCTTTGAAAACCGGTGAATTTTCTGAAAAAGCGGAATACTTATTAAAAAAAGTGAAATTTTTAGAAAAATCTGAATTTTTGATTAAAAAAAAAAAAGCTGCAATTCAAGAGATAAGTGAAAAAAGCGGAACAATCTCATCCCTGCATATATTAGTATACATGCATATACACTAGATTCTTAATAATAATTTAAATTTGCTTAGTTATAGTTAATAATAAAACATCTGTCAATAAATTTGTAAAGATTCAAACTCATACTTTTTCAGAGACTGGTTCTTGATGAGGAATTGGTGGAAGAGGACGATTTACCTGCAAAATTAAAAGTAGATACTACTATGAATAAAATTTCAATGCAATATTACATAACCATTTGCTTAAAAAATTCAATATTTTAAATTAGTTAAAAAATAAGAATGGTCAAATTCATTAGTAGATTTGTAAAGAGTTCTAATATACTCAGTATGTAATGACAGGAAGTTAGTTTGAATAAGAATACTAAACAAGAGTACCATCAGTTCTGGTAATTCAAGGTATGCTTAAAACTATACTTATATCTACTGATGATCATTTAAAAATTCATGCACAATATGTAAATCTCTGGTGGCAAAGTTAAAACACTTATTCAATTGTTTGTATAACAGGAATTTAGTTCTCTATTCTGAGTTACTCTAAAATTTTATAACTATACAAACACAATCAATCTCGATTTAAGTAGCAAAATCAAAGCAGAATAATCATAAATAATGATTTTATCAATATTTTTAAATTGCAATATGATCTTAATGAAAATTAATGTGATTTACTTCTAACGTGAAAAATTCTATAAAGGGGTTTATAGATAATTGATAAATAGTTTACGATCCATAGTCACGATCGGGGAAATAATATATCAAATAGTTTAGTCAGGAGAGCAGTCGAAAGTTTGAACCCCTTCAACAAAATTTATGAAACAAAAATTTTACTTTTGAAATATTTTACTTTCTAACAGTTTCTTCCTATTAGTTAGATATTATTTTTAGAAAATACATTATACAACTTTTTAGATGCACAGTGCGCAAAAAAAAAGTAGCAGACTAAAAAACTTTTAATTTTAATGATCAGATCTTCACATTTTAAGACTCAAACTTAATTATTTAAGGGGATGACTTCAAATATGCTAAATAATTAATGCAGATGATATTTTAAGTTGCGAAATCAGACATAAAAATGTACTTTCACTGAATAAATATACCCTTTTTTAAAAAAAAAAAAAAAAGATTTGGCTTTCTGACCCCCAAAATATAAGAGGTAGCCGCAATCTGGGAAATGTGATCTCCATAGCTTGATCAGGACAGTTATCAAGAACTTGGATGCTTTAATGTTATTTTTACTTTTCTACATATTTTGCAATATCTCAAGAACTTTTAAGCGAAATTGAAAAATTTTCGCACACAATTATTAAATTCCTTTACCCAAAGATAATTTCATGCAGAAAATAATCTTCAAATATTTATTTTTTATTCAATATTAGTTGAAACAAACCTAGATATATAATTTTTTATATCATATAATTTTATATGGCAAAATACAAAACTTGAACGAAATCTGTCAAATAGTTTTTTAAAAATTCACATTTAAGTAAAAATAACTTTTTACACTTCAATTTCTCAGGAACTATTCTGTTAATTTCATTCAAATTCTTTATTTTGCTATAAAAAAAAATTACATTCTTTAAAGTAATGTAAAAATTAGCATACTTTACAATTCAAAAATTTTCAATTATAAATAAAATAATTTAAAAAAATTTTTTTGGATAAACGAATTGTAAAACTGGGTCCAAACATTTTTTAATTAGCTTAGAAAGGTCTCGATGTATGGCGAAATACGCAAAAAAAACATTAATTTAACAGAGAAGTAAAATTTCTCCAGACCAAACTAATGGGACAATTCCCAGATAGCGACTACAGCCTACATTTTAATGGTCAAAAAATACAAATCCGTCAGGGGGGGGAAGCATATTTATTTACAAAAAACATTTTAGTGTTTGGTTTTGTAACTTAAAATATTGTCTGCACTAACTTATTAGCATATTTGAGGTCACCTCCCTCTACCATTAAAATTGATTACTAGTAGAACAAAAACCAGTGATTAAATCAAAAATAATTCAGGAATTTTTTTTTTGCACAGTATCTAGTTAAATCGAGGAAAATATTAAACTATTTTATAGAAAGTTGTGTTTTAAAATTTATGCACTTACATTAATTGTTTAAAAGATTTGCAAATGAATTATTTCATTTACTCGAGATTATTCTTTAGTAGAAGTTAGTTAAATATTCAGTAAATTTTATTTCCATAATAGTTTATTTTAACAAAATATTTATGAAATAAATAACATAATAATTTTTTAATTAACTTTTAAACTTGATGAACACAAAATATTTAGCTTCTAGTTTCAAGATAAACCAAGACATTTATTAAGATCCTTGTGTGATAAGAATTTATAACCGCTGTATTATGATTACAAAGCTATGAGGTGATAAAATAAATATGTAATTATTTGCTGGAAATTAATATTTTTATTTCAAGTTTAACTATAATTTAAATGCCCTTCAAATATCTATCATAGATAAAAGAACAGTAATTAAGTTGTTTAAGCCTTAATTCCTAAATTAGCTAACTAAAATATAATAAATTAAATTGAAAGAAAATAAATTGTGTGTTATGGCAGGGATGGGCAAACTATGGCCCGCTGGAAGGTTTTATCCGGCCCGCGGACAGAATTTTAACTCGCCGATCAGTGGCGAATATGAACAATATACATCCTTTTTCTTGTCTACTTTGTTTAAAGCTATTTTTTTTTCTTTTTCAACAAAGTACTGATGACCTTTTTACTTTCTCTATTTTTGTTCTACAAAACATAAATTGATGGAAATAGTTAGCACAGACAGCTTCAATTGGTAAAATGTTGAAAGCAGAAGTTCTTTATAGAATAGCCATAGATTGGCTCCAACAAGCGTTTGTTTTTCTCGAGGAGCAGACATACAGAATTTAATATAGGTGAATACTTCACAAGTGGCAGACTGTGCATTTTAAGCTCCAGTGAGGGGATTTTTCTAACTGCATATGGAGAAATTCAGCACATGCAACGTCATTGTAAATAATGGTAAAATTACTAAATGTATAAAATGTCCAATGCTTTCTTGAGTTATTTGTAAAATTTTTTCACCCCAAAATGTCAACTAAAAAACGCAAAGTTGATTTAGAGTTCCATGCATTCAATGATGAATCGACTTCATTTTATTTTAGAAGTTAGAATTTTTATTTTAGAAGTTTTTACTCTTCCCAACAAACTTTTTTTTTCTTGATTTTTCGCCGTTGACCAAAAAACGTTTTCGCATCCCTGTGTTATGGTGGAACATTTTAAAACAAGCTAAAGATTAGAAAAAAAATATATAAAACTAAAAATAGTCGTATTTGATAACATAAAATGAAGGAAAAAATATATGATCTATAAAAATCAATTATTACCATAGGTGGATCAACAGCTTCTTTAATTTGTTGTTCATACATTTCTTCTTGATCTTCTTGTGGATAAAAACCATTACGTTGTTTGTGCTTTTTCTGGTGTTCAGTTCTTAATGCATACATTCTATCTACTCGATTTTGTGGAGAATGAGGATTAGTACTGTGATTCTGGAATGAAGCATTTCTATTACGAGGAAATGTGAAAGAATTTCGAGATGATCGATTGGTTTGTAAATGTAATCTCTGATACTCCAGTTGCTCTTGGTGTAACCTATTAAGCCTGCAATTAAAATGCATGATTGTAAAATTTTTGTTGTATTATGTAAAAAAACATATATAAAGAAACTGCAATGGAACATTATATATAAGAAGATGATTAAGCCTTTTGTAAAATAATGATATTTGACTTTAAATATAGTAACGATTTCCAAATATACTATAAACGTTGTAGAAATAAAACAAATAATTTTTTATGCAATATGATAATTTTAAGGCTAACACATTGTTAGGCCCTGTATAAAATTTAAAGTGCGAAAGTTCTAAAACAACTACAGCTTTATGGCCTCATTAGCATTTAACCCTTTGGCACAGATTAAACACTGGTATCCCACCTATATATATTTTTTTCTGTTGCTCTTTATTTATTTTTCCAAGATAATATTAATGTTTTATGTTCGATTACTTAATGCATTTAATTTTTAAGAGTTATTTCCAGCTTTTCGTCAAATTTTGAGCTGCAGTTTCACTTCAAAACCTAATTCTCCCTATGCTATTCTTTGCAAAAGTAGTACTTGGCTTAAAAATTTAAATATATTTTTCCTTACAGGCTCATATCTTGGAAAGATTATCCAGAAATAATACCTTAACAATGAATTTCATTATAAAATATTTTCATGAAGTCTTTGTTGTATATCAGAAATTTGTTTACTTCAGGTAAAAGTACAGGAACTTTGCAGTATCAATGCAAGAGCCCTAAGAAAGAATATAATAGTTTGAAACATTGGTTTTCAGAGTACACAGAAATCCTGAAACCATCTCTTAAAATATAAGATAAGGTGAAACACTAAAAAATAATAATGGCACGATTCATGTTGATAAAAACCAGAATCCTTGCTGCATATTTCTGTTTCACTAAATCACAACAAACGTTTGCATTCGGCAACAAAATGATCAATTGTATTTGCCGAATTGCAAAAAGTCAAGAAAGTTTCAAGCAAATTACTCATCTTCAATTAAGTTGAATTTGCCACAGGAAAAAAATCATTGTCAATGAGATGAAAGTTTGATTGGCAGAGAAAAGAATAGCATACTATCATATTGTACCACTCTCTGATTGCAATTGTTATTCTATTTTTAGACAAATCTCATTTTACTAATAAATCTTTCCTTTTGCTAATTATTTTCTTGATTAGTTAAATTGCTTTGGTTATTAAATTAATGAAGAGCCAGTGATAACACTGATTTAAACCGTATGCATACCTTTCTTGTTCAGCCAGTACACCATTTTGAAGCGGTGCGCTTATGAGTTGTGAAGGTACAGGTTCTTTACAAGAAGTAGCTGTAGTTTCTTTGTTTGACTTTTTAGAAGACTTACCAAACCTACAAAAAAAAAATTAATTTAGAGCATCAAATTTCTATGCTAAAAACAACATTTGGCAAAATCTTCAAAACTTTGCACACTATTGTAATATAAACATAAGATTGTAACATAAATTTATAAATTATGAGCTCAAAAAGGAAAAAGTAAAGCAATTATCAAAATAAAAGTAAGGTTTTATAATGTGAGGTTCATTATGAAACAGTTGTTCCTTAGATATTTCTAACATTTCACACTTCAAACACAATAAATTTCTTCACCCATAATGGACAAATCTCTTAATGGAGTGAAACTTAATTTAGTTAAGATGATAAAAATCATCAAAGTTGAAGCTATGGAACTTCTTTAAATCAAGTGAAACTTCAAAATTAGAGAACTAATAAACCAAAGAAATCTTACCTTGAGGAAAAATTACCAATATACTCATTTCCTAAATTTTAACGCATATGTGTAATGGCTGTCATATAAAACTTATTTCAACCTAATTCTGATCAATTTTAAAAAGCACAATTTGTGCTAATGTAAAAAATCGGATTGTTTAAAACAATTAATCGGGAAGTGAGACAAAATTGTATAGAGAAGTTGATGCAAATCACCAAATATTTTCTATTTGCTCTGTCTCATCAAATGCTTTGAAGCTTTTATTAATATTATTTGTTTCCATTGGCCATAATTACTTTATATTGCAATAAATTATACAAAAATGAATGAGTAACAAAAATGTCTCTAAATCAAGCAAATTTTAAAGGGTAAATTTATCAAAGAGCAATGAGTGCAAGTTTAAATACTTTTTTCACAATATTTACTCACTTGAAAACTGATCCCAATCCTTTGAATATACCTTTCTTTTTATGACTTTTATTTTCCTTCTTTTCCATCGTCTCAACTGTTTTCGAACGAGTATGACGATTTCCATTAGTAGCTTGTGGTACTTTGTCTTTATCGACAGTTGAATCTAGAATTTTAAAACAAAAATACTTGCAAATAAACTGAAATTTTAAAAAAATATTTCATGGGAACTTAAAATTAGGTTGCAGTTGTAGTAGTGCACTAAACACAAATGACATAACTTAATCAAGATATCAAATGAATGGTGTTGAAAACCAAATGTGAAACAAATTAGGGGGAAAGGAAGAAGGTAAAACGATCCCTAAAATGTATGGTAGTCGCTTGACCCATATTTTACAGGATAAAGGTGAAACCTTGTCGTAACTAAAAAGTAGATAATAAACTACAAAAAGATTTTTATTCTTCGAATCTGCTTCACTTTTAATTTACTATATCTTAATTGAGATTAATTAATTTTTATAAATTTATATCAAAGACAGATATAACTTTTTAAAATTTGATTTCTTTACCATTATCATATATGTAGTAAATCAAAAGTAAAATAACTTAGCTAAAAGTATATTAATTGTTCAAAAAAAAATTTAATGAATTACTTTTTCAATTTAGTTTTGAATTACAAATTTTTTATTTGATGCTACTGCCATATAATGTTATGTTTTATGCAAAGAGATTCATATAATTTCAGTAGAGTTTTATAAAAAAAATTTAATTAAAAATATTTTTAATAAAAACTATGTCAATTAATAAACAATCTGTCAAAAAAATTTCCACGTAACTTAGTAAGTTTAAATAAAAGTATATTTAGTATTTTTACTCATTAAAATTCCAAATAAAATAATGAAACAGAAAATTAGTTACTTTCATTTTGATCAACAGCTTCAAAAGACTTGTCAACAGCTGCTCGAAAACTTTCATTGCAACCTCTACTTGTGTTACCATTGCTTGCAGACATATTCAATTTCTGTTTTTCTCGTAGCATAGTTTGAAGACTTTCTAAGCTACTAGACTTTAATAAACCTAGAGAAGGTCCAACTGGGTCATTTGATTCGTTACTACCACCACTTTCTCTTCCAGTAGTTGGCACAGCATGATATGGACAATCAGGAGAATCACAGGACCCTAAAATAAGAATTAATAATTTTCTCTTCAAATACTAGTGAAAAAAATTATAAATATTTTCTCTTATATTTTGATTTTAAGTTATCATAAGAGTGTAAAAAATATATAAAAAATTGCGCCCTCTCCCATCCCCATGACTTACAATTAAAATTTTAAAATATTGCAAAAAATATTTTCTAAAATACTTAAGATTAAAACTTTACAAACATTAAATTCCTTCAATATTTTATGATTTTAGATTTTTTAAAGAACTAAAATAAATTATTTTTTGTTTTGTACTTATAGTATTATACATATAGTGCCCACACAGAAAAATACTGTCTTTATAACATTTTGACAGTCATCGTACAACATGCAACACTGTTCTCTCATTTTTCGAACGTAGATTCTAAAAAACATCAAACTATCAAGGATATTAAAAGCTTTGTGCATCTGTGCAGAAACTCATAAAGTGCAATAAATTTGAGAAATTTTACGTACAACAACATGTAGGATAAAAGACAGTAGTTCGTTGAACTCTTTCCACTTGCAACTCTTTGTTGACAACTACTAAAATTTAAAAAAATTAACAACGTGCTAGAAGTATGCAAATATCAAGCATTTTATTTAAAGAAAATCTTAATTTGCTTTAACACACTTGAGTCAATTTTTATACATACAAATATAAAAACAACAATTCTAAATATAAATGCTTTCAATTTGTATATTTTTAGTCGATTTTTGAAGCATTTTTGTCTCTACTCAGTACAAAACATGCATTGAATCATTGAACAGAGTAAGAATATTAGTTCCTTCAATCAAGAGGATTAACACACACACAAAGATAAAGAATCATCAATTTTTCGATTATCATTGATTTACCAGATTGACCAATTATTCAGATCGTTCAAGGACCATATGTTTTTCCTCACTTTCTCCAAGAAAAAGAAATTTGCAGAAATGTTTCTTTATTATCTGAATGTCTCAAAGGGTTGAAAAAATGGCTTTCTTTTGTTACACTGAAAAAAAAACCTTATATTTGTTCCGCTTAGTCTATAATATGGGTGGCCAGTTATTTCTAGTAAAGGAAGAGATTTCTTTTTTTTCTTCCAAGAATTAGAGAGAGAATTTAAAACATGCTTTGACATGTTCTTAGTTTTGGAAAGAGATTTTGTCAGCGTAGAAAGTGTTTTCAAACATGACAGGGAAAGCGCAAAAGAGTTGTGCGATCATTACATCACAAAATTGAAATTATAGAAAGATTAAAGAAAGGTAAAGATTTAAACATAGCAGTAAATCAATTATGACATTGGCAGATCAATTAAATATAAATTAATAAAAGAGAAGTTATTCAATTATAACGTTTACATCAATTTTTGATGAAGAAGGCAGCATGATATGAAAAAATAAACAAAATTTCAAGTTTTGATGATGTGGATAAAGAATTGTATCTTTGTCAGTAACAGCATGTCTTTAAAAACTTTATAAGTAAAATTTTATAAATTTAATAAATATAAATAGAGTGTAACACTTTGATTCATGGTCTGAATTAAAATTTTAACTCATGTGGTATTTACAATTTAGTTATTACACAAACCTAATAACAATTTAGTTTTACTTATGGATGTAAACTCCTGTCATCTATGATTGAGATAGCTTTGCAAGGCAGATAAGGAAATGTATTGTTTCACATATTGTGTCTGTATTGGTTATTTTTTGGATGTTAAAAACATTTTTTTCAATAATTTGGATCATCACGAATTAAAAAGACTCTACTTTAATTGTTTTGTTTTTGTATTATTATTATTTATTTATTTATTGCACTTTCACAAATATAAAACTGTTAAAATACTAATATCAAAGACTAGAAGTGCCAAGCAATGAGCTAAATTGTTAATGGTTTTTGTTCCACCAGACAGTCACAAACAGCATATGAAGAGTTATATCAAATTTAATGTAAGCTTAAAGCAGAACCAACAGGTTTTTTGAATTTATTTCAGATTAATTTTCTTCAAGCTACCATTTTAATTTCATTAATGTTTGTTTCATAATTGTACTTACATTTCTTACTACAAACAACGGTGCAAAATTTTCTACAACAAAAACCAGTTTATCCCCTTTTATTCAAAGAAAAATCAAATGCTTAGCAAGGAAAATTATGCAACTTTTCTCAGGTCAAACAATATTGTCTCAGCTGATCCAAATTTGTTTAAATAAAAACAGACATATTTTTATTAAAATAAGAAATCTTATAAAATAAAAAAAAAGGGAGGAGCAAAAAGGAAGAAATGCAGAGCAGTGTTGATTCAGTAAATATTTAAAATAACACATTTCCTTCTTTCTTTATCAGTTTAATAATAAAATTAACAATTTACCTTTAGTTCGGTCCATCTGTTCAAGATGAACTGAATCTGAAATTATAAAATTTGAATGTTTAAAAAATATATACAAATTTATTTTTAAATTAAATAACAAAAATAAAAGTGCATTGAAATAAATTAAACTAAAAATTAATATGATAAATGAATATTTTACATTCGTATGGTCCCACATCCACTGGCATTTCTCTAATTGGTGTATTATCACAACAAGTATTTGGCAAATGAGATGTTCGCACGTTTTGGGGTGTGAAATAGCAATTTGATTCATTCGGGCTTTCATTTGGCGAGTACTGGTGCCTCTGATAAGACCATAAAATCTTTTCAGGCATACTTTGCCTTCCCATTCCACTTCTTTTGAAATTATCATTTCTCTCCATCAGATACCTAATAATGATTTCAAGTACTAAAGTTTAGAGAAGTTAAGTAATACTTTTGTAATAGTGATGTATAATATAAAAAATCTATTCCAGGCAACAACAAAAAAAGGAATGAATAAAATTTAAAAAAAAAACTGAATTCTAAATACATATTAATAATTAAATTGAAAATTAAATTTAAGCAAGCAAGGGGAAAAAAATGATTTTTTCTCTTTTCTTCATATATTTACGATTGATTATATACAGATGTTACATAAATGATACATACAGCTATCACTCTACAAGATGCTACATGATAGTTCTAACTAAAAAGATTTTGTATAAGTAGTTAAAATTATTATTAAAAAAAAAATTTCAGTATAACATTTCTTCAATGTTCACGACGTTGTTCTGCACAAAATTGGCAAAATTTTTCTAAATAACAAAGTATTTATGGTAATTATAACAAAAATAAACATATAAAAAAAACTAAAATAAAATAGTCGAAATCATTTAGTCAACACTTTTTTTAGTCTTTTTTAATTTGGGAATACTAACGCTGTGAACCTATTCTTTTTCATGACTCACAATGCAATGATTTAAAAAATTAAATTATGAAACTGAAATAGATTGGAGAAAAGAAAATTAAGTAACTATGACTGGAATAATAGAAAAATTCAAATATTATTTATAGATTTATAAATATCATTTATATTTAAAAATGTAAAAAATTCATATGTCTTATCATGCATAAAATTAAAATCTTAGCCAAACCTTTTTCTTTTGGCGATTCCTCTGCTAGCAGGTGGGGGACTATCACAATTTCGAAGATCGTCTAATGTGTCATGCCCATTTAGAACAGGCCTGTACAAATCCATATCAACGGGATTTGAAAATGACTTTTTGTGATTGCCAAGAGACATGTTTTCTTGGAATGAGTCAGTTAGCTCAAAGTCTTGTTCACATGCACCTAATGTAACAGTTTCATTTAAGTCAATCAAATCAGATGAACTATGTTTTGCTATTGCAGCCACACTAGATTTTTGTTCCTCAAACGTATTTTCACCAAAGAGTCTCTCACTTTCACCATTCACGAGTCCATTTTGTGAAAAACTCACAGGAATAGATTGTGATAAAGATAGTAACTCAGAATCATTTTCTGTCCTATCACCATTTGGCATATTGGTATGTGCAGGTAACATGAATATGACAGTATTGCCTGAATTATCACTAGTAGATGTATCTGGGGTTATGCCATTGCATTTGTTTGACAAAGTTAAGTTTTCGTTAGATACATAAAATGAGTCACCACTCTCACTAAGCAAGGAGTCACTCCGATCATGACCAGAACTCTCGCCCTGGTCGGATCGATTACCACCAGACGAAGATACACGTCGAGCAATTGTCAATGTTATTGCATATGGGACAGCATTTGGTCCATCACCTTGTATCATTGCACGCCGTAATGTTTCCATAGCCTGACCGTTGGTCATTCCCAACAGTGAAATGCCATTTACATTCATCAGCTGATCATTGTTATGCAGCCTTCCATCCTATTTATAAAAAAACTTTGTGAGAATGGTTTAAACATTTAAAGTAATATCATAGAAACCAGTTGTCAATCAAAGGGGGGATGGCAGTTAATGTTTAAAAATTTAATGATGTCAATATAACATGATGGCCACTTTTACTTATAGAAAAATCAGGAGCTAGGTGGGCTTCAAGACATTATGGGAGATAGAATCCCAGTTAAACATAACGACAAGATTGATTTATTTAATTTATACCTTTGTAAATATCTTCACAAAATTTGATAGCTATCTATAAAGCAATAAAGATCATTAAACAAAAAAAGGTTCAATCAATAAGTTAAAATAAAAGCAAAAATATTAACTGCTAAAAAAAGGTATATACGAGGGAAAAGAGTAATGCAGTATAGACATTTTTTTAGTAATACATAAAAACGTAGCAAAAATAAAAAATTTATCATTGTTATATATTTGCCAAATTGCCAGAAAGGCGCATATAGACCATCTAAAGAAGGGGTTTCCAGCTTACATGAGGCCGGGGGCCACAATTGAAAACACCAGTCAATTGAGAGCACCACCCGCAACTTTATCAAAATTTTATATAGAACTCTTATCTTTGAAGGAACACTAAATATTACTGTAGTTGTACAAAAAGTTGTACAAAAGAAAAGTATTGAATTACAAATTAAAATAAGAAGTAGATTTTCAAAAATATTTAATTGCATATTAAAAAATTCTGGCAACAAAATTTACAAATGTAAATAATTTTGTCAAAAATGAGTGGTTTCAAAAAGTCAAATCGGAGAATTTCTTCGCCAAAATTTCTGATGCACACATGCTAAATTATATTCACAAAATAAAAAATAAAAAATTTTAAAAAAACGAAATAAAAAGAGCAGTATACATGATTATTTTCGTATTTGAATAAACTTTTTCTTGGATACAAAACTTGAGAAATAAACTTTTTTGTACCGTTGGTATGTTAAATTTCACAGAAACGAAGAAATTATGGGGTTTTTTAAAGAAAGAAAAGCATTTTAAACCTATATAGATTTATTGCGAAAATTGTCCGCAAAAAATGACAATATATTACAGTTGGCGGGCCACAAAAAAAAAAAAAGGATTCGTGGAATGCCAGTTGGTAACCACTGATCTATAGGAACTTGAATAACTATAGTTTCATGTAAGTTTGATTTCTTAAAACAAAGAAATTACAGTTTTCTCAGGTATGTTTTGTTTTTGTCTCGTATGTTTTGTTTTGTATGTTTGTATGTTTTGTTTTGTTCAATAGGAAACACCACAAATAAAAGTATGCAACTTTGAACAATGCAAAATAAATTGAAATACAATAAATAGCAAAAAAAGATGTGACGAAAAGTGTTTCCTTGTTTAAAATAACTAAAATGACAGGAAACTTGAAATGAATGACCAAATATGAAAATAGAAACGTTAAAAAGAAAACACTATTTACCTTATGAGCTGCACCACCATGAAAAATATTTTTCAAAAATATTCCCATATCGACAGGTCCTTTTTCAGTATTTGAAGTTCTTCCCTTAACACTGACACCTAAACCAGCAGAGCCAGTATCATTCAAAGCTACTTTGAAAGTAAATATGTCCTTTCTTTTTGCACACACAACGGCTTCTTCATCTGCTTTTTCTACAGGCTAAACACATAAAAGTTCTTCAATTAATTGAGAATTTTTAAAAAGATAAATAATGACCATTTGAATCACAAAGTCGCTACTAACAATAGTTAAAATATTTTGTATAAAGCAAAAATATTTTAAGATTTAATAAAAGGCACTGAATATTTCAAGCTAGTATATTAATAAACATAATACTTCAACAGTAGGAAAAAAAATTTTATCAGGTATAGAATGTACTTGTTATAAAAAATTTTTTTTTAATTATATGGTGAAATGATGTAATAACAAAATCTACTACATAATTAAGATAAGTAGTTTTTGTTCAATAGCAGGTGTCATAGCTGTAATATGAACATATCTAATGAGATCTCTTAAAGTGAAAAAAATATTAGTTACAGGACAAAATAACCTATTTATAAAACAATATTATACTAAAAAAAATTATTTAATGCCATCAATGGCTGTCATAGGCAGATAATTTTGATGATGAGTCAATAATTTTAACAAATAAGTTTCTCTCAGTAATTAAAGAAAAAATAAGAAAATATGAAGAAAAAAAACAGAAATTAAACAGTAAATGGTATTATAATAATAACAAATACCAATTCTCTAGGGAGACTAGGGCTGGGTGATAAATCAGTTTCAAGTCTTGATATAACCAATTCTACAACATCACCATATGGGACATTTCTTAGTATATTCAACACTTCGGCTTGAGTCAAACTGGAAACATCTATTTTATTAACCTGTTCAGGAAAAAAGACAATTATTATACAGCAAAACAGCTTAAATATATAATAAAAATTAATGGAATTACTATCTTGTGTGGCTATATTGTATTTACAGCTAGAAAGATACCCGTTTGTCATAAGAGATGAAAAAGTAAATATTCAATAAATTGGCAATTATTGACAATAAAAAATCATGTACATAACTGAAAGACATATACTGAACAATTAAGCTTACAATTCTTTTTTATTTATTATTATTTGATGCTTTTCAAGATGTACCTCAAAGGAAGCAAAACTTTTTTTTTTAAAGAAGCTCAGCTTATCAAAATAAAAGTTACTCCATTCAATATCATTTGACATAATTTTACTGCTGGAGGCCAACTCCTGGTAATCAAAACTTACACAAACTAACAATTTTCTCTGGTACTTATACCTTTCAAACCTTAAAAAACCTATTTTTTTAGTTCCTATAAAAGACATCTCATTACCAAAATATTAGTATATCTAGCACCTATTAAGAACAACAAGTAACATAAGAACATAACAGAAGTAAAATTAAGCATTGTTAACAACAATAATAAAACAATTTTTTATAGTTTTCATAGATGAAAAGTTGTCTTTTTCTCCATTTATTTCGCCCTTCTGTTTTTTTGTACAAATTTGTTCTAAAGCAAAAATTAACTAAGCATAATTGGCATTAATAACAATATGACATTTATTTTGGGTTCTCATATACAAATATACACAATTAAGAACCTTTTTACCTTAATTTAGATTTTTAGCACAAAACTTTTTATTTCTATTTCAGCCTATCATCAAAATTAATTAATTGTTATTAACTAATCATAGTAATGTTTTCATGATCATTTATGGCAAATGTTTTAATATCAGTACTTATTTCAAAGGCTGTCAAAAATTGCCTAAATATTATTTACGGCGCCAGTGATACTTGATTAGATGTGGTATTAAATATTTCCCAGTACTTCCGAGTATTAAGTGCAGTGGTAATGAGAAACCTTTTATTCCAATGTCAGTGACTAATATAGATACTGTGGTAATATGTTTTTTACTATCTTCGGAAATAGATAAATCTCCTAATATCACAGTACAAAACACCCAATGTACTAAATATGCAAAATTAATTTTTTATAATTTGTTGTATATTTCCAGACAGCTTCCTACTATTACATTAACCATAATATGAGTTGAAAATTCAACTGAATAAAAGAAAGATCAACTATTCATATAGCAACATTTAACCTATAATATTCACGATTCACAATAAATTTTACCAAGGCTTATTATTTTAATAGATAACCTCAATTTTATTTTATTAGTTCTTGTTGAATTTCTATCATTTAAGTTTACAGAGACACACTAGAAAAGCATAAGTATCAATACAAGAAACATGTGGTTTCATACACTTTTTAAAATATGAATTCGGGGACCTCATCACCATACTTGGCAATATTATTAATGTTGATTTTACTCGTAATAATCTAACCTAGAAAACCAAAGATAAATAATTCATAAAAACGTGCAAGAAAACTAATTTTTGACATATTAGAGCTGCAAGAGAGTAAATCACTATTATAAAATATTTATCAAATTCTATGGTAAAACACTTTCTTTGCAATGTAGCATGTGAACCAATGGTCGGATGGAGTTTTAAAGTAGACAATTAGGGCCACTGTGTCTTCGAACACAAGCACACCAACTTTGGTGTGAATTTGTTCAGAATTGTCGATTTGTATAAAGGGCATACACAAACATTCTGCTTTATTTATATATAAAACAAATTCTCACTAAAATTGACAATAAATGTAATAAAAAAATTACAAATTGGTGACAAAAAATTAATAAAAAATATTTGTTTACAAACATAATATATTTGCCAGATCAAATGCAATGATGTTCAAAATTAAACTCTTATAAATAGTTTTGTAAATGCAGTAAAAAAATTCATATTTAAAAAATAAATAATCTTCACAATTATTATTTGACACAGGGTAAGTAGGACATAAAAAAAGATTTTGTTTTCACTCATTACCAAAAAAAATTGAAAAAATATTTATTTCTTTACCATAGCTTGTAATAAATAAAGATGATGATTTTCATTTTTAAAAAATTTGAGGTTTAGATTTTAAGACATTAAACAGTACTTTTGTTTTAATTTGTGCTGCTTAAATTTATCAAGAAATATATTCAATTCTTATTACTCAATTTTTAAAACTTTTCCAAGATAAAACAAATTTTCATAATGTTTTTTAAATGATTTCTGACTTGGGTGAAGATATAGAGAAATAACTAAAACATCCTAGTTAAAAGAAACGAAATTCCATTTAAAAATGATATATAACAAAATCGGAAACAAAATTAATGTAACTAAAATCTAATTGTACTTATAAATTTAAAAAATTGTTTCATACTTCTAACAGTTTATCCCCTGTCTTTAATCTGCCATCATCTACAGCAGCCCCAGCTGGAAGAATATTTTTAATGAAAAATGGAGGGCCATTATTAGCATCTTTAGAAGTTATGCTAAACCCAAGGCCTTCAGAACCTAAAGAGATATTCACCACTAAATTAAGTATCTAACAGACCAGATCAGTAACATACATATCTAACAGTATGAAATTTATTATGGGCAAAATTAACTGCCTTTGCTATACCTTTACTCAGATGAACAAGAATACGGCGCCCAATTTTTCTAATACTTGAATGAACTGGCATTCCTTTGTGCAAAACATTGGTAAGTAGCTTTTTAGTAGGGGTTGAGACAGCAAGAGCTGGAAAAATACAACATACAAATATTAATGCTTAGATATATGAATTTAAACAAATATTTAATGCTAAAATGGTACAACATATAACAAAAATAAAATTCAGTTGAAGTTTCAGATTCAGATTAGGCAAAACAGTTTATCCTTTATTTTTATGAATGAATTTGAAAAGCGTGGGATAAAAAATAATAAACCACATTTTCAAATTGGTAAGAAATACATTTTTTTTTAAAACTAATTTTGGTGAAAAATATCAGAATTTCCATTATAAGTGTGTTGAGCTATTATTTATTGTTTAATTTCAGAAAGTAGAAAAGTATAGTAAGGAAAATTGATGCATAAAAAATTTCGCCATAGGAAAAAGTGTAGCTTATAAAAAATTGCCAAATTGCCTTTAGATATGAAATTTATTTCCAATCGTTATAAATTGAAATAATTAGTATGATATTTCTCAAAACATTTAAAGGCAATTCTTGAACACATAAAGAAATACCTTTATCACAATCAAATATATTTTTTATATGAGCAGTTCCATGATCTTCAGAAGGCAAATTTGGCTTGGGAAGAACAGTAGGAGGCTTATTTTTCTTGTTCTTGTTGTGCATCAAGTCTTTTTTGATACAATGAATTTTCAACTCTGGAGCTTTCATGGCATCTTTCAAGATCTCTTGGGCATTTCGATAGGAATCTTTGCTGATTTTAAAACCATTTATTTCAGTTATGCAATCTCCAACAGAAAATCGTCCATCTCTATCTATTCTTCCACCTGGTTCAATACCTTGTATCATAACACCTTTATTTTTCCTAAAAATATATTTGAAAGTGAATTTGTATTTACAACGTCCATAATTTAAAACATAAAACTATGCAATGCTATAAAGTTTGAGGATCTTTGAATTATCTTACTTATTAGAGTCATCAGCAGCAGGAACTATCCTAATACCCAAAGGACCATCTTCTTTCTTTAGTTTAATCACCTCAATTCTAAAAACAGAATTAATATATTAAATATTTTGATTGAGATTGATTTGAATGTTAATCAAAAGCATCTAAACATCATTTATTTCTTATTACCAAAAATTCTAAACCACAGAAAGAGTTCCCAAATTATAGGTATATATTTAGGACAAAGAAATAAATAAGATAAGAATACTTACGTTTTACAGAAAAAAATAATTTTTTTTTAATTGAAATGTCATAAAGTTTTGAACGGTAGCATTGGTGCAATGAACTACTAAAAAAATCATAGTGCATTTTTTTTTCTAAAACTTAAAAAAAAAAATGCAAAGCAATCAATTTTTTTCAAATTTTATTTTGAGCTTAAGCAAAATTATTTTCCTGTGGATATTAATAAGAATCGATGATGCAAAAGTTGAAAGAATTTTAATGGAGTTTAAACAATTTAGCTTAAAATGTGTTATGAAAAATCAATAATTTTCTTATATTTAACTCACTTTGGTGAACATGTTTTATAATCTTCAAAACAATTTAGTAAAAAAATTCACAAGAATACTAAGCTAAAAGTATTTTATAGCTTTAAACATAATTATTGTCTCATTAGTCTTCTTGAATGTCTCATTAGTCTTCTTGAATCACAATGACATCTTCAGTAATTTTCTGACTTCAGAAGAGTGAACTTTCTGACGCACCTGCCTTTTTTGTTTAGATATTTTTTGAAATTTTTTTAACTTATAAGAATTGTCGAATGGACATTTAACAATATCTGTATTCTTTACTAATAGATATAGCCAAGGCAAGATAAAATAGGAAACTAATGAGGATGGCTCCAGATCGATATATTTTTTAAGACCTCATACTTTTTCAAAGAGCCTTTAAAATTAATGAAGGTAAAATTTATTTTTGTAATTTTCTACAAAATTGCAATTTTGTAGTGACCAAATATTTTGTAATTTCTACAAAATATTTGGTCACTTTGTTGATCAACCAACCCCCGAATTTCAACTATTGTCTTATTTTGTTGCAAGTCAGCTGTGCACAATTTTTTCGTCTTGTAATTAGCCTCCGTAACCATCTACGACATATTTAAACATTTTTGGGATATTGGGTTGATAAAAATATTACAAATTTAGTAAAAACAGAAAATTCTAATAAATATCACAAATAATTTTTATTTTTATTTTTGATAGTTTATGCTACTTGGAATTGTTAATTTTGCAGCATTTTTAAGGAAAATAGACCCTGATTAGCATTTCAATGTTATGTGTAATTATTTTTGCAAGAAATTAAACCTTTCAAAAAGCTTTTTTTCTTTTAAAATTTATGCAAAACAAGCTTAACAGGAATAAAATATCATAAAAAGTTACAATATTTCTGAATATAAGTAAATTTTGGCAAAGTTGGTGTAACTGGGGATAGGGCAACAAGTAATACATTAGCCGCAGGCCCCATCATAATGTCTAAATAATTCAACACTGGATATAGCAATTTTACATTAATAAACCTCTGTCTTTTTTTTTTCAAAAAAAAAGACACAGTGCCCTGATATAAATCAATTCTTCTGTTGTCCTGATATAAATCAATTGTTGGCCATTATGGCAGATAGGATGCGGTTGTTCTTGTTTTCCAGTGGCGCCATCTATGGTCAAGAATTAGACTTTTGCCACACCCATACGTCAAAATCGTTTATAGGGTAGACCCATCCATATATCCATTCAATCATCCTCAGATTGTAATTTTGACCTGAACCAGAGAATAATCAATCTCCAATTCAGAACTCCCAGAGGTATTGATTTGTCATGGGAACATGGAGGACTTAGTGACCGGACAGATTTAACATGCACCAGTCACTATGAAGAGTCTTCGGCTGGCTGAATTTGAACCCCCGTTCTCACAAACGTGACCTACCAACCAAACACCCAGAACAACCAGGCTATCCCAGCCAAATCAATTCTTCTAAAATATACTTTAGATTTTGATAAGAAAAATTGTGTAAACTCACTTTTGATTGATGGAGCTAGAAGAGTCACTGTCATCAGCTTCATCAGAGCTATGATTTGCTGAAGAAACAGGTCCACCTAATGGTTCTCTTCTTTCATCCTGTAATTGTTGAAATGGGTGATTAGAATAAAAAGTATTAAGAATGAAACTGAAATAGAAAAAATAATCTTAAGAGGGTAACTGCTATTTAAAACATCATAGAAGAACTTTTAAGTAAAATAGAACATTTTTATTAACAATTTAAGGTTGAATTAAGTATTACAAATTAATTTTCCATTTCCATGAATAATAACTGGTATAAATAACTGGTTTATGGATCAAGGCATACTCAAATAAATTTAGTTTTATTAATTTAATAAGTGTTTTCTAAAAAACTTAATATTTTATTTATTTTATGCAAGTATAAAAAAAATAACAAATAAATAATAATAGGGTATGTGAGGAAATTAAAAAGTTTGCAGCAATATTTATGCAAATAGTAAAACAGAACAGTTAAATATTAAGCACCTTCTTACAAACAAAGGAGAAAGTATGAAGAGCAAAAGTTAAATTAATCAGGAGACATTATTTTGATAAAAGGTATACTAGTTTTTTTTAAGCCAAAAATTTTGCAATAATTTAGATAATAAAATATTGATGAAAAATTTATTATTTTATTCCTTGTATCTAAAATTTAGTTCTTGATTCCAAGAATCATAAAATCATCACAAACATTATATTTATAGAAACCAAATAGTTAGTAATAAGACAATAAAATGTTCATGATGGAATAATTATTTTTTGAATATGAATTCCAAATGTCTTGATTTGATTTATACCTTATTGAAATTTAGTTCTTGATTCCAAGAATTCAAATACTGTTGATAAGAAAAAGATTTCTCTTCCCCACTTCCATCCTCTCTTTCTCCAGGTGGTATGTCATCTTCAGATTGCTCTTCACCCTTCAAAACAAAAACAAAAATATTAATAACTAATGAAATATATTTCTATTAAAAGACATACATGGATAAAGTTAAGTTAGAAGAATGTTTCAATTTAATCTGACAACAACTCTTAACTTAAAAACCCAAAATAATTTGGGCTGATATAACAATTGTGATGGGGTAAAGCTAATAATTAGAGGCTTAACGGTGCATGAACTGAAAGAGGACATACTGAGTTAGAAAAAAGCTTAGCCTTTTTGTAATAAAACTTGTTGGTATTCTTGATTATCTGAACTTCATTCCTTGCAGATCAACTGCAGGTAAATGAAAATTTGTAATAGTTAGATGACAATTCATAAATGCATTATCATAGCAGTCTATAGCAGGCCAAGGGGGTCACAAAGATTGAGGCTCCGTAATTTTGTGACCAATGGCATGATGGTAATATTGTCACCATTGCACACTGACCACCTTCACTTCCCACACAAAGTGGTACCCTAGAGAAACTTACATCTGCAACTTGAGATTGTATCACTGTGCTTCAAAATGTTAGTTTAGAGCCTTTACCATTCAGCAACCACAGACCAAATTATTAATTAGTGTAACTTAATATGTCATTTTTAGTATTATTTAATATAATATAATAAATATACATTATTTTTCAAGCTAGCAGTTAGTTCAGATACATTTTATTTAACGGAATTGACAGTATTTTGTTTGCGGGTTTGTGCTGAAGTTGCACACCAAAAATTTGGAGTTTGTGATTTAGAAACAAGTTAGCTTACAAATTTTAAAATGTCCTCATATTAAAACAAAAGCAAATGCAATGAACTACACAAAAGTATTATAGATTTAAACATAATGAGNAAAGCTCGTAAATACAAATCGCGATATTGATTTTTTAAATCTCGTAAGTAAGAATCGCACTGTACAATATTTAAATCGCCTGAATAAGAATCGCAACGTTCAACTTTTAAATCAGGTAAATACGAAAATCGAGATTTGATAATAAAATCGAGATTTTAAAAATGCATAAATACAAAACACGATATTGGATTTTTAAATGTCGTAAAAAAGAATCATCAGGGGTCTGTCTAGGTTTTTCTGAGAGGTACCTATTTCGTGAAACCTTAGGACATAATTTGTGAAAAATTAAAAATCATATTAAAATATCAACACAAAAATATAGATTTATCGTTTCTTAAGGGATACAAAAATAAAATTTTAAGAAAAAGTATTTTGTGAAACTACCGTTGTTCCTAAAATTGAATTTGTGAAACTACCGTTTTTCCTAAAGTTGAATTTGTGAAGGTACCCCTAAACGGTAGTATATTCACCCTGGACAGACCCCTGCAAAGTGCATAAAAAAATAAAAACTTTTAATAATAAATTCCCTAAAATTAAAAGACAAATGTTTTCTCTCCATAAAATCTGAGCTTTCATAATAAATAATACTTAAAATATGGAGTGTATAAAGCAAAATATATTTTTTTAAAATGTGAAAAATAATTACCTCACTATTTAAATTCCTTAAACAATCATCACTAGCTAATACAGCAGCAGACCATCTTTTACAATTTTCTATATTTGGCAGCAGAGATGGGGAAAGTCTATTCAGTGCAGGCTCACTACCTCTTCGTACATGAAGAGGAAGAAGACCTGAAATGTACATATTTTTAGGCTTTAAATAAAAAAAATTATTATAAAATAACTAAGATATTATTGTAAAGAAATGTAATCGCTGACTTAAAAGACAATATTTTTACATGACAACTGCTATAGAGTTGACCACTTAAAGTACTTATCTTTATTATGCAGCATATTTTGTTGATGCTTTATTCTTGTTCAATCATTAGAATTGAAATTAAGAATTTGTCACTGTATCACAATTCCTATATTCTAACATTTTATTTTCGTTCAAATTTCAAGAAAGATTATACCAACTTTAACTACATTATGTATGATAAATGATGAAAAAAAAACATTCTTAAGGCTTTTGAGATTTTGCAGAAAATCTACTGTGTGTTTATACCCATCATATACTAGTTATTTTGCTTTTAAGAATTTAAATTTCTAAATAGCTCATTATTGTCATATTTTATTTTATATTGATATGAAAATAAAATATCTTGTAAGAGAAGGACTTTGAATGAGTAACATCTTTTTATGATTGTTTTACTTCCTAAAATGCACTTCTTTAATGTAGAAAAAAAGTCCTCCTTTCGTAACCTTTCTTCTGTGCTGTATAATTTAAGACTCATTATCTGTCGCAAACTCAGTTCATAGAAGAACCTAGTTTCTCGGTTACGTTAAAAAAAAATTTCTTTTCAGAGATTTTCAAACAATCCATGCTTACTCAAACTAAAAAGGAAAAAATTAACAAAATGTCATGAATGGCAAAATGATAATAAGCACTATGTAACTAATAAGTAATGTCCAGATGTCCCTAAAATGTGTGATTTAGAAAATAAATGAAAGAAAACTAGTAGAAGATTTACATAGAATACAGATTTAAGGTTTGCTGCATTCTGCTAGGAAACTACCTAATATAAACAAGAATCAATATTAAAGAGTCATAAACAGAAGATTTTTTATCCAACCATCATTTGCAGAAACATGATGCAGTCAAAAACACCAGTGCATATATTTTAAGTTGAAATGGTCTGATATGTAACAGAAAACATTATTTTATAGTTTTCTTAATTAGCAGCACCATCTGTTGACAAACTTAATTAATAAAATTAAATCTTGAGGAGAATAAATTTTCTAGTCTCAGCAATTCATACATTGTTATTTCCATTTCTTAAAAATTAGTTTTTAAAATATTGGGGATTTATGAAACATTCACAAGTATCAATAAAATATAAAGAGTGATATAATTTTTTGAACAAATTTACCTCCGACTATTTTTTCTTCTTTCACTTCAGCATCTGAACCAACATAAGAGGATTTGATAAGAGGGGCAGATAAAATGTCCCCATTTTGAAAAATGTCAGGACTCTCAGTTCCTATTGAACTAGCACTAGTGCCATCACCTCCATTATGCATTAAGTATGATGATAATTCTTCATCATAAACTGCAGTAATCTAAAGTAAAATTGATTTGAAAATATGAGAACTAAGCTTTTATAAAAACAATTATTAAAACAATTATTATCCTTTTTAAAAATATAATTTTATATGGTAAAATACGAAATGTGAACGAAATCGGTCGAATAGTCCAGAGAAATGAAAGATTGAATTATTCAACCGATTTCGATCAAACTTTGTAGTTTACAATAAAAATTATATACCTTAAAATGATGTAAAAAATTGTATACCAAACTTTTAACATTGTTTTTTTTAACAATGCCAAAAAAAAATTTTTTTTTATTTAGTTTTTTAATACATATTGCTTTTGAATATAGCCCCTAAAAGGGATGGAAAATACAAAACTATCAAACATTATTAGATTAGCATGAGGCAGATTTCACTTTTTCCCCTAATAATTGGAACACTATTTTTGTGGGTTCTCATTGTTTACAATTGTGACTTGTAATTGCTTCACATAACATCAGAACACCACTTTTTTTAAACACACAAACTCATAACACATGGAATCAGTTGAAGTTTTTTTCCAGACGACAAAAACTGAAGCAAATATTTACATGGAAAATGAAACAGCTAAGAGACTACACGGTGTTTATTGAAAAGTTTGACTGACTTATAGTTGTATTAAAAAAAAAGGTTTCATTTCTAAAAAGGGTCGGTTAACAGGAGTGCCAAAATTTAGATGCTTACCCCTTGGTCATACTCTCTCTCTCTCTCTCTCTCTCTGTGAGAATGATCAGAGGGTCAAACTATAATGAGAAAACATGACCGAAACTCACGCATTTAATTTGCAGGCTTTATTGTCATAACTTTATGACTTTTCTGAAAAAAGAAGAAATTCTGCCTGATGATTGGGTACATTCCCTGTGCACAGTGTCATTTCATTCTGTGATGTTCAGGAATATATGCTTTCAATGTCACATTTTGATATTAAACAATGAAAGAAATAAATAGATTTTCGACATTCCCCACTCAAAGATAATCGTCTAAATGTGGGTTTCGAATAATATTTTCAAATTAATCCAATGAATAAATAAAAAAATTATACTTTCATCCATTAAACACTCTTAAGATTAATAAACACTTGCCTGTTCTCTGTCGTCGGCAACATCATTCAATTTATCATCTGGATCTAATATACCACCATCACTAAGAAGCTTCAAATTGTGTATTGTTACCCAAGAATCAGCTGGCTGCAAGAGAAAAATAATAACATATTAGAAATTATTTGAATAAGTAAGCATACAAGTCAATAACAAAACATTTACAATAACTTAATTAATACTAATCAGATTTTGAAATAGTGCAAAATGTAAATTTTCACAAAATTAGAGATAAAAATTTGTTTGAGTCCACCAAAAAAAATCACTAATAAAATTAACAAAAAAGAATACAAGCAGTAAAGAATCAGAATATAGCACCGCTGCCTGAAAATTTCTACTATGTTTATATGTATAATAAAAAATATATTTTTTACTAATTAATGAAATGCTATATAATTAAAGTTATTAAAATTCATTACCTTTAAAGTTCAAAAAATATAATTTAAAAATATGTCTCATTTACTTTTTTAACAATAGAACATTTATTTCAGCAAAAAAGAATATGCAAAATTTTAAAATTTAGATCCATTTTGAAATTTTCCTAAAATTATTTGATTTTTAGAGAAGATCTTTAAATTTAAAAATTTACATCAAAAAAACATTTTCACAAGTTACTCAACAGAATGAGAAACTCCCAGCAGGAATAAATTTTATTTGAAAACCTTAAATAATTATTAAATTTGAGTTGCTTTTGTTTGAAGCCGATCAGAAATGATGTCACACTTATCCTTATCCCCCCCCTCTTTACCACCTGGCTCGCGCGTTATTATATAAACACATACAAGCAATTTAAAAACATTTATCGATCATAAAACAAATTTTATTTTAACATTTTTTAATGGCATTTATGAACGGTTATATGATCAAATATGAGCAATTTATCTAAGAGAAATATTATGAATTTATTCCTCTAATATATTTTATAACATTAAAACTCAAAATATTTGGGGAAAGCATAAAGTGTAAAAATATTTAACCAGCATACAGTATTTTCACAAGTAATCGAAAACGCTATTATGCGATGTAAAAAAAAAATTAAAAAAATAAAAAATAAATAAAATCAGTAACTCTTTGAAATATTTTATTTATTTATTTTCATTTGGAAGCATATTTTTGAGGTTCTTAAAATGGAATCCAAATGCATCCTAAAATATTGAAGGGGAAAAAAAAAGTTCTGATTACTAAAAGGAAATTGAGTTATTGCATAAGCCCTGATATTATTTCCTTACTATAATCTCTTCAACGCCCAAAATTCAAAATAAATGATCAGATAAGAATGTGTTATTAAATATCAACCGAAAATGACCATAATAGCGGGTGTGGCGAAAATACATCGTTCAAAATCTGAAAATCTATGCTACAACGTCTTAACCAGGACCGAGATTTCTGCACGCCATTTAACAATTATAGTTTAAAACCACAGGCTTCAAAGAAGATGATAGGAATAAGCGCATTGATAATGTTGAAGATTTGGAAAGGATGATGTTTCTTTTTCTCCAAATTTCTGTAATTATTTTCTCTTCTCAATACATAAAGCTAAGAAGTACACAATAAGACATAACTTAAACCTTTGACGCAAATGGAACACCGGTGTCCCTTTTATATATATCTTTTTGATGCTCTAATTACGAACAGAAATATATTTTGTTTGGTATTCTTTAATTATAAAAATTAGTCTTAATAGTTAATAAAAAAAATCTTTTAGATTATCGGAATTATATTTGCACTAAAATTCTAAATCCAAAAAAAAAAAACATAAGTTAAAATTTTTTTTCCATACATAACAACATTCCACACAACATAATAATCAATAATTGATTTGGAAATTAAAAAAATTTCAATGCTGAATAACTCATTCTCTTAGATCAAAATAACTGCTAATACGTGCAAATTTAGCACTGATTTCATAACGATAACTTATTAAAATGCTTAACATAATTTTTTTCATTTATTTTGATCTAAATTAATACAAAATAATGAAAAAAGTATGAAAAATATGTTTAATAAAAATTCTGCATTAAAGGTGTTAAAGATTTCTGAAATAAAATTAAGAAAAATAATTTGAACTTAAAACAAAATATCATTTGAAATGAGGTTTATTTAAAGAAGGGTTAGTCTTGAATATTCTTTATAACATGCAATCACATTGAATGAAATGTAGGGGTTTAAAGCATAAAACCAAAATTTGATCTATAAGCTTTTGTTACAAAACATCACTAGTATGAAAATAATCTTAGAATCTTATAGCATTTGGAATTTAATAAAAACCTTGAATTAAAGCATTTGAAGTTAAAAGCAAACACTCCGTACTTTTAAAATATGAACACTTATTTCTTCATCTTGTTAAAAACTAGCTTCATGGGAAAACAATACTGAGTTTTATTCCCCTATCTGCTAGAAAATTTATATTAAAAACTAGCATTTTACAAAGTTGATAATAAAAGCTTTATGTAGAGTGGGAAAATATTGATAATATCGAATCATTTAGATGCCAGAAATTACCATAACAGGTAAAATGGTGAAGCCTTAGGGAAATATTTTACGATACATTTACTTTTCCCTTGTAAACGAATCTTTATTGCTTATTTCAACGCACTTAACGCGATCACTGCTCTAATTTTATAATAATTTTAAAAAAAACTCTAAAATTGCAATGGTTTTGTTAAAAAAAAAAAGAAATTATTAAAATCAGAATAACTTTTACAGTAATATTCTCTCTAATTATTCTTTATACGAGGATAAAAACACGCCAAATTCATTGAGCGGTTATTAAAAGTCAAACAAAACACATCGAACGGTTTGAGATTATGCTCTTATTTAATTGGAGCATGATAGAAAGTATATTATTGAAAAAAGTTATTTAATAACTTGATGGATTTTCCTATCGTTGTCTTCATTATTACACAGACTCGCCTCGGGACATAACATATGCTAATGGCACGATGCATTGCAAAACAATAGAGATGAAATCTATTTAAGACCGACTTGTGTGTAATTAGCCAATATTATTTCCCTGTAAAAAAAAAGGACTATAACTAAAAAGTGCTTTCGGTGAGAAATAGAACATTAAAAGGGGTCGTTTACATCCCTGCCAAATATAAAAAAATAAAAAATGCGAAATTAAATCTACCATTCACAATAAAAACAATACTGTCGTCAAACGGATGAAATTCGTAAATCTACATAAGAAGTAGTGTTATAAAAAAGGAATACTTATTTTCAGTCACGAAATTATTAATGAAAAATTTCGCGAGTTTCTATTTATGGAAGCCGTTTCTATTGTTGAGTTTGATATATTTTTATATGTATAGGTATAAGCTAAAAAGAACTAGGGAAGTTTTTTTTTTAGAATGCTAATACGTCAATGAAAGATTTAAGTAGTTTTTAAAAGCTTGTTATATTAAAATATTGGTGAAATTATGAGTTATTGTCACGCAGAGAGGCATTTAATTCTTAAATCATGAATTCATTTCGATGTTATTAGACATGGCATTCTAAATTTAATATTTTAAGTTTTTTTTTACTGAAATGCCTAATTGGAAAGCTTTATGAAAGAATATTCTATGAGATATTTTTGCAAATTCAAAAATCGTTTTAGAAATTTTTAAACAGCGGAAGGCTGTTAATAAAAAATAATGTCTCACTCGCCTGGCCGAAAAAAAAGCAAACAAATGTTTGCTATACATACAGCTGACCCGTGATGGCTCAGAGCAGTGTTTCCCAAACTTATGACTTTTGTGTTCCCTTTCTAAATTTTTCGAAACGCTGCGTACCCCTAATAAAAAAATGAATCCATTTTTTGCTATAAGAAAATTGCACAAAAGTTAAAAATCATAACTAGCCGTTGACACCACTAATAGTTAACTGTTAACTCTGCAAAAAATAGCCAATAGAAAAATACGTAATCATAAATTTTCATGGCTAGCTTTGTTTTTAAATAAAATATTTTAAAATTTTCGTTTGTTGCAAGTTATTTCGCATAAGAACGCGTACCCCCTCTAAACTGTTCCCGTACCCCTGGGGGTACGCGTACCACACTTTGGGAAACACTGGCTCAGAGGATAGAGGGATAGAGCGTTCGCCTTCCAATGAGGGAGCCGGGTTCGAATTCCCGCCACGGTTGGTCGATACGAATTCCGCATCCGGCTTGCTGCCCCAACCACAGTGCTGACGTGAATTATGGAGGATCATGGGTTAGAGTTCCCTTGCCGTCAGACTAACCGTGGGAGGTTCTCGTGATCTCCCTCTCCATGCAGCGAAAATGCGAGTCGCATCAAAAATCGTCCACGAAGGCAAATTTCTCCTACTTGATAAGGGAGTTCCCTTGTCTTCTGGATTGGGTTCAAAATAACAAGGCTACGAAGTTGATCATTATAGTCGTAAACCCGGCATCGGCTGTTCAACGACGGTTATAAATTATAAAATAAAAAATACACACAGTTGGCCATAAACTGTTTTTAACCCCAAAAAATGGCACTTTTTCAGGATGCCTCTTTGTATCTTCTAGCACAAAGCTCTTCAATTATCATATTTTAATACACAATGTGAGTTTAAACGAGTACTTTTTTAAAGGAATCTCCGTATCTAACGTAGTTAAAAAGTTACGACATACAGTTAGCAATCTGTGAAAGCCAATTTCCTCATAGATTAAATAAATAATTATCAACAAACTATCAAACGGAAGCTCAAAATTATAGAATTTTTTTTTTCTTTTTGATTTGGAAATGTATATTAGTTATTCAAAAAATCTATTGTACGCACAAATGCTAAATAATCATATATTTAGAAAATGCGAGACTAGGTACTTTCGTCAACTTACTTACGATATGCCAAATAAACAATTAACATTTTGATAAAATGATAGATTTTCAGCTAAAAAATTATTTCCAGTGAAAAAATATATTTCAAACGTACTTAAGTTTTGTTTTTATACAGTGACGGGAAGAAAAAAAATCCCAACACCAAGGAGTAAATTTGGTAGGCTTGTTAATACAAATAAAAGATGATGTCTATTCAAATTTCGCGCTTGGAGCGTAGTTTGGCGTTAGTAGCGCCATTGTGAACATGTCTTTAAATACGTGTTCTACAGT